TGCCTCCGGCTATATCCAAGCTGCATTCTACGCTGAGAACGACGGTTACGGCTTCAAGATCCACGACCAGCTGTCTGGCAGCATGCACGACCATGTCGTCAATTTCAAGGCTGACTTTGACATCTTTGGTACTGACAACACGGTCCAGCGCATGCACCAGGTCCCGACAACGCAAGTCTACCCGTGGTCCAAGGGTAAAGCGTTCAATACCATGAAGGTGGAGCGCGAGTTCATCGAGAACGAGGACCAGGGCCGCTTCGACTGGAGCTACAACAACCAGGATCAGCTCTTCGTCCTCAACCAGGATGTCAAGAACAAGCACGGCGAGTACCGCGCCTACCGCATCTTACCATACACCGGTGCCGCGCATTTGACTGTCAAGGACTCAAACATTCTCAAGAACTCGGCAAAGTGGGCAGGTAACGACATCATGGTGTCGAAGCGCAAGGACACGGAGCCGCGCAGCAGTCACCCGTACAACAACCAGGACACCGAGAACCCGCCGATCAACTTTGATGCCTTCTTTGATGGCGAGAGCCTCAACCAGACTGATCTTGTCATGTGGCTCAACCTAGGCATGCACCACGTTCCTCACACTGTAAGTCACCATATCTTTAGCCACCTGCCTTAGACGGGTACTGACCCGATGACCAGGGTGATCTTCCCACCACCGTCTTCACCACAGCTCATTCCGGAATCCAATTCGTAAGTCCAACTGGCTTCATCGAGTGAGAATTTGAGCACGTACTTACCCTATCACAGATGCCTGCCAACTACTTCGATATTGGTCCGAACGTGGAGACGGTCAACATGGTTCGCATCAACTACTCCAACGGCACCACGACGGATGTCTTGACCTTCAACGCCGAGACAGACACATGCGCGCTTGACTACGAGCCTACGCAGGCTGACTTGTGGACTTACAAGGGTGATGTAGTTGTTCGCAAGTTCCCCTACTTACCGGATGATCCTTACTATGAGACGGATAGCATCTGAATGTTGAAATATGATAACTCGCGTAATATTAATGATGGTGAATGATTTGACACGAGATAATGAGGAAGATGGATAAATAAGATTACCGGCAGGCTACAGTAGCAGATGAAATACACAAATAGTACAGACTACTTAGCAGGTCATCTTGCACTTTGCAGCGAGGCTTCGGACACGGGCGAACAAGGAGTGAAGCCACTATACTGCGGAGACCTAAAAGGAATCAAGGGCCGAAGTGCCTAAATCCTTCGAGAAGGCTATGGTAGCCTTGTGATGGCTGACATTTTGCAACATTAGGCTGCGGCGTTTCTTCAAGAGGGGATGAACCTCAAATTTGAATGATCAAGTCAGCAGTCAAGGCAAGGGGGCGGCACGAGCATCATGGCGTAGCATCGCAGCTTACTGAGCTAATGTATGGTGAAGGGTCATTGCTGACGACTATTTGGAGAAGTTTTTGGGTTTACATGACATTTTGTTCAACCCCAAAATCAGATCCGAGAAGGCGGTTGGCTCGAGATCGAGAATCTCGTCCAAAAAAGAAAGAAAACTGCGGGAAGGATTTTGAGTGATGAGAAGAGAGACGCCGTCAGGTACGACTCTCGTGCGCTGGTCCAATGAGGTCTTTGGCTCGGTAGAGATTTTACCCAGAATAGCAGCGGCGCTTCGGGGGCTAATTTTCCCGCGGCGGTGCGATACGTACCGATACCCGACCTCTGGGCTCCCGTCATCCCGTCAAGACATCCCCCATGTTCACATCTGCGCATCATTTCACCATCCATGTCTTTTCCATCCTGGCACCGATCGAACCATCTGGCATCACCATTTCAACAGAAAAAAAGTTGAATGAGAATCACCTCGGAAACGGCAGCATTTCCAATAATCGACAGGGGCACCCGTCGAAGCCAGCAACCGGGTGGGGATTTGCGGCCCAAGAGAGATGCCCGACTCAAGTTCGACTCTGATCAATGATTGATCAGCGCTGATCGTCCGGAGGGGGCTCCGCGTGGAATTCTCGGTTGTGGACCATTGACTCAGCCAAGTCACCGCAGTCATCCCAGCCGGCACTCATGACTCAACTTCCCCGGGGCATTCACGCCTGGGTCCAGTTCACGAACGCTGATCCGGGTCGTGTCGCACTCGACTGCGCAGTAGGGCAAGACGGTATCGGTCAATGACGATAAGCGACGTTCGATAATGCCGCCGACATGTTCCTCCTCGCCAGGCGACAGGCGGAAAATGAGGCGTTCTGTTTCCTCCCTCCCTTGCTCCATCGCCAAGTGGCTGGTTCACGCCTCGGACGTGCAGATTCGGCAACCCCTTGCGGCCCTGAGGCCTTGGGCCCGGTAGACGCGACGTAAGTCATCCATCTACGATCTACTCACCTAGTCAGTAGTCAGATTTCCCGATTCGACAGCCAATAGCCGCGGTGTGCTCAAAATACCTGCCCGTCAGCATGACCGCCGTGCCGTGTCGCGTCAAACCACTCGGCGGCTCCTCCAAATGGCACCGCGCCAGCGCCTGTCACCGTGCCACTGAACAGAGCACTTTAGGGTTCCGCCATCAATGCAGCCAATGTCACGTAACTAGGTCTCCGTCTGGCGGAAGCCTCAAGCGCCGCATGGAGAGAGAGACGCTTTTCCGAAAGAGGAGTCAAGTCTCTACGCCCTACTCTGGCCTCCCTTTCCCCGGCAACTTTTCGTTCGCTCCGTTCATCGCATTTTCCTTGATTCGGGTGGTTCTATCTTTGCTTTTCCTCTTCCCCAGTGAGACACTGGTTCACCTTGGCCATCAGCTGGAATCCGAGCGACAGGATGCCACTAGTTCGCCTTGTCACTGGGGCCAACGAGTTGATTGTCGGTGCAGCTCTTCAGCGTCCATCCACATGCGACTTGCTATGCGACGTTGAAGATTTCCCAGTGGCCTGGCGTTCTACGTGCCACATCCCCTCCTCCAAGAAAAAGGCGCCGCGAACCAAGCCAGCCCTCTCATCATCGAAGAGATATGCCACCTACCGCCCACCGAATTCTCCATGCCAGTGCTCCCAGCCACAACTTCGAGAAGGGAACTAGCGCGAATCCTCATGCGGCCGGGATCAGCTTCCTGGGCCTGGCTCTCTATCTCGGTGTCTGCCGTGCGAGCGAAGGCGTGGTGGGATGGGGCCAAGCCCACGGTTCGTACGTCTTCACTCACGTTACGCACCCGCACACCCACGGTAGCCAAGGGCGGGAGATAATCGGAGTCAGGGTCGACATCACCCATTCCTCGGCTCGGTCGAGCAGGTGCAAGTCAAGCTTAGCTCCCGTGATGACAACTTTGGGGCGAGACACGCATCCACTTTTGACAGGCTGACTCTCGGCCATTGAGCCTGTTTCGACGGCCTCGGTGTGTTCACCTTTGGGCTCACGAAAACAAACGGTCGAGTGAGTGTCCCCGGAAGTCCAAATTCCGACAAACGTTGTCTTGGGTCTTCAGTTAGCATTCCAGCACAGCATTCACCTCAGCTCAGTTGGACCTCCTTTTCGTGTCGAGGATCCTGGGAAAGTCGAGATATGATTGATTCTCGCCCGTTTAGGACGGATAGAAGGTGGACAATGGCCAGATGGGGGACAAGTCTCCAGCCCTTTTCCCTCTATCGCGCGCACAACAAACCGCTTTCTACTCTCCGAGTTGACTGCTCATCTCTTCCATTCTCCATCATCCTGTACTTCCAATTCCAGGCCAACACTTGTGGCATGATATCCATATGACAATCTGACAAGTGTCCGATATCTCGGATCAAGCCGCAGTGAAGGGACTCCTGTGACTTATGTGAGGCTGCGCTAGCTGCAAGCCTCACATCTTTCAACAGTTAAGCCTTGCTTCTCGTGGTACCATAGTTCGACCACGCCTTGCATCCATGATGCAACTAGTTACTAAGGATATCCCCTTCGATGCGCCACGGTTCCAAGGGCAGAGCAGTCGCTGAGCAGAGGAGAGAGAAAAGCAGTACTCAATGTCTGCGCAGCCAATCCCAAGTCCTCTGCGGACTTCCACATCTGACTTTCCTTTAACACGTCTATTTTGAGACCCGGCCACCCGGCTTGGCCGCATCCACTCTCGTGGGAACATCGGCCTTGGACGCAACCATGCCGCTGACCGTGCCGCCGCCCGCATTCTCTTCAATCCTTCCATCCCACCCCACGTGACTGGCTCGGAGACGACGGCGACCGTATGCCACCATCGATGATCCAAATTGAGCACCTTGAGGGAGGCTAGACCCCAGCGCCGGAGGGTATCTATTTCGGATGCGATTGTAGTCGAATGGCCCCCGTCATGGCGCACGTGGGATCAAGGATACAAGGCATGTGAAGGGTTGATAGAGACATTCCCTGAGGATCACGAAGGGAGTATTTATCAGACCATCGAGTCCCCCTCAAGTCGTGATGTTGTCTCCTTTCAGCCATTCAAGTATCAAACCTCATCATCTAGTGGTGCTCTCTGATTATCTCGCTCGCCCTCTTTTCTTTTTCGATCTCCCCATTCCTTATTCCACACGGGCCTCCATCTCTGTGCAAGAGTTCCTTCTTTGGGTCATCTATCTCGTACTGGCCACTCTCTCAGTCGTAGCATTTCATATACTTGGATCTGCTACCCACGTAGAAGGGCCACTCTTTCGTTCTCTTTCGTAAGTCACATCGATGAGCTGTCGAGGTTGGTGGCGGATGGCACTGACAGTAATGTTAGCTACTTGTCTTTAACCTGTATCAGCCATGTCTTTCACAACGTCTTCTTCAGTCACATTACCAGTGCCCGTTGTAGAAGATGCTCAACACGACCTTCCAGTCAAGACCAGCAGCGAGAACAGCCCCGAGCTCACCTTGACGCCTCCGACTAAAGTCTTCTTCCCGCCGAGCAGTAACTCATCAACGCATACTCTCGTGGTCACCGATGGCGGTCGTTCTCAACCCTCGACTCCTCCCGCTTCGAGTAGTTCAGTCGACGACACCGACGACGACGAAGACGAGATCCCCGTTCCAACAAAGAAGGGCAATCGTCCTTACCGATACCTGCGCTGGAACTTCGGCTCCGTTTACAGACGTATCTTCAGTCTCGCCTTCTTCGGCAACATTGCAACCCTCGTATTCGTCATCATCCGCTCCCTTGTCGGAGGCATCCAGCTCACTCCCCAAACTTGCGCCACGGCCGTCTCGGCAAACATCCTCGCCGCCCTCTTCATCCGCAACGAGCACACCGTCAACGCACTCTTCAAACTCTTCGTCCTCTTCCCATCTGCGAAGGCACCCCTACGTGTCCGCCGCACGTTTGCCAAAATCTACTCATATGGTGGCATCCACAGCGGCTGCGGCGTAGCCTCCTTCTTCTGGTTCGTCGCCTTTCTCGTCGTCCTCACGGCGCAGCTCAAAAGCCCATCAAACGCCGTGCGAGCCTACATCCTCCTCGACAGCTACCTCATCTGCGCCCTCCTCGCCGCCATCATCGGTTTTGCACACCCCAGGGCCCGCGTCCTTCTGCACAATTGGTTCGAGGGCACCCACCGCTTCCTGGGTTGGTCTGTCATCGTATTCTTCTGGGCCCTCGTCCTGATGCTCGCCGCGGATGATAGCACGACGACCAGTACCCCCTACGCCGTATCCCTCATTCTGACCCCGTCATTCTGGATGCTCATCGTCATCACCCTCCTGGTCGCGTACCCTTGGACGCGTCTCCGCCTGCGCGATGTCGAGGCCGAGGCCATGTCGGACCACGTCGTCAAGCTCAACTTCAACTACGCAGACGTCCACTATGGCCAAGCTGTCCGCCTCACCGACGCTCCCCTCCGCGAGACCCACGCCTTCGCCGTGATCCCGAACTCCGCCGCCCCATCCACCGACATTGAGAAGGCCCAGACAGGGGGTCTCTCTAACGCCGGGAAGAAGGGCTTTTCCGTTCTCGTCTCCAACGCTGGCGACTGGACCAACAAGATCATCAAGAACCCGCCGAAGAAGATCTGGACCCGCGGCGTCCCACAATACGGCGTCCTCCGCGTGGCAGGCCTCTTTGAGCCATGCATCGTCATCGCTACTGGCTCTGGAATCGGACCTTGCCTGAGTCTTTTCGTGCAAAAACCGGATCATCCCGTGCGCATCATTTGGTCGACGCAACGGCCGGCCGAGACGTACGGACAGGCCGTCATCGATGCGCTCCACCGGGCCGACCCGGACGCCGTCATTATTGACACCAAGAAGACGGGGCGACCGGACTTGGTTGCGATCACGTACCGTATCTGGGAGAGTAGTCGTCGCCAGGCTCTGGGTCTCGCACATAATGAGGGTGTTGCCGCGACGACGACGACGACGACGACGACTACAAACAAGAAGAAGATGGGTCCTTGCGAAGCTGTTGTCATTATTTCGAATCAAAAAGTGACGAGAAAGGTTGTATATGGTCTTGAGAGCAGAGGCATTCCGGCATACGGCGCCATTTTCGACTCATAGACTTGGGGGGAAGCATGAGCCGCGACTGTTTTTCTGTGTTCTTCACCTGTCACATCTTGTTTTTGTTCATCTTTTTAGACTTGTGCCATTTGTTAGAACTTGCATAGCGGGCATTGCGGCATATGTAGTGGGCGTTTGGGGGGGGGTTGGGCATGATAGATTAAATGTTCATATTTGTTTTATTTCTGTACGCAAAAAAATACCAGAGGTTTAGAGAGTGGGCAGCCATTGCTCTTTTGCGTGGTTGATGAAGAAAATAGATCGCATAATTGGATTCACTCAAATGCAAACATCCCATTCCCTCGCAGGTGATTCCTCTCGTCGCGAACATCGCGACTGGACTTAGACGAGAGTCTTCGTGCATTGATTCACCGGTATGGATGACGTTTAGCTACAATAACCCATCAGCCAATCAAGGCACGCTAACTGGTCGGTTAGCTCAGTTGGTTAGAGCGTGGTACTAATATTTCACCTTAAATGTTGTGTAATGCCAAGGCCGGGAGTTCAAGCCTCCCACTGATCATCTTTTGCTTCTCGTCGCGATCACTGTCTTCTTTTGCACTGGTGAGAATAGTTTGGTGTTTTGGCCTGAAAGAATGCTTTGTTTTTTTTTACCTTCGTTCCTTTTCGATCCTTCCCTTTCGGACGAACTTTCCTTGGTGGGAAGCGTCGCAAACGCACTGTGTACAAACGGCAAGCTGCCCTGCTCCTCATCGGCAGCACTTTCCCCGTCTTGGAGCTCCCTCCTGCTGTTCGGAGGGTGTCTTCCATCGGTTACCTTTTGGTAACTATACGGTGTGTGAAACCTTCGCTTCACCTCTACAACCTGCGTTTCTTCCACCCACTTCCATGTTCCAACATCTTCACCCTCGCGCGAGAGGAAACACGCAAAGACAGTGGCGAGGCCTTTCCATGTAAGTCGACAAGATCCGGCTCGGGGCCTGATGACTCATCATCAGCTCATCAATACGCAAGCTTCATGGCGTCGCACCCATCTCGTTTGAAGATCATGAACCACAAGATTGCCGTCAACTCAGAATTTCCTAAAAGAACCCCAATCTAGGCCAGCGACCGAACAAAAGACCCTCATCGACCTGTCGTTTACGGACTCGGAGCTCAATCCCGCATTCTTGTTGAGGGCCGCAGGCATCCAGAAGTCATATATTACGGGCCCTCCACCACTCGAATTGGGGCTATGTGACCTCCCATTTCCACCACCCCTTCTCGTTGCGTTTTGTGGTTCTTCCAATCGGCGACATCGCCAGCTCGTTGTCGCCCTTGGCTTCGGTTGAATCAGTACCGCGCCGTCGCATCGCCACGAACCGAAATGGAACACTACAGTACACGGCAGGCAGCCTGTCAAATTAGCCGGCTACATTTTCTTGCTGATGAATACGTGCGAAGCCAACAACGGACGATAGTGAAGAAAATGCACGAATCCGTGTAATCACACCTTGGCTGAACAATTCTTACGAATGACTCGCACCGCATTCGAGGGAGACGTCTGGTCCGGACTCGTTTCATACAAGAATCTAAAAGCAAGACACTACGCGCCGCCGCACCAAACGCTTGGGTTCTCGACAAACTGACAGATGCGTTTGCTTCTCGCCCATACCCCCGCACTCTCGTGGCAAAGCCTGTGGCGTTGTCTTGGTACGGATACAGGGGCTGTCGAAGGACGCATCAACAGCGAGATGCCCAGGTCTTCAGTGCACTCGAGGGTTGCATCCTGATGATCCTCTCTCCTGACAAGAAGCCAAGAAGTCCCAGCTGACGCCCCTCGACCCCGGCTAGACCCCCGTCGATTTGGGAAGCCCGGATCGAAATGCCGCACCGCAACGTGGGGCTGCGCCTTGTTGCCTCCGTATTCCGTTCCTGGCAATGCCCTGCACGCCTGTTTCGACCTCACTTCACTGTCCAAGACATTGCATCTTGACGTAGCCAGACTCGCGGTTTACCTGTCAAGATCAAGGCTTTCATATACGTCAAGCACAAGCTGAGGCTTCATCGGCGCTTTCTTCTTTTTTGATTTGCTTTCCCGAGCCTCGTTTCTTCTTTCTCGCCTGCTGGTTCGTCTCATGTGCAAACATCCGAGTCCCCGGCGTCCACCGCTTCATCCCGTCCCTTGCCCCTTCATCTGATTGTTGGTTTCTCCCGCTGCCTCTGGTAGATTGATGTACCTGGACCAACCCCGGCCATGAGGCTTGACCAACAAAGGCAATTCAGCACTGTTACATTCCGTTGGAAAGAGGCCCAACCCCACCACTTTCGACAACCTATGCCGCTGTCCCCCATACTGTGATGGACCCCCTGAACAAACACCATGCAACATTTCCTCCTATCGGTGCATTTGCAAACCATGCATCCATCCACAATCTCGGGAGATACCACTGGTCAAGCCAGGTGGTGGGAGTCTCTGGTCATGTGGCAACGGCGCCAACTCCAGGGTTTGATATCTGAAAGAAGAAAGTAGTAGGTCCTAGGATAGCGGCGAGGGAGAGGGCACAAAGGAGGTGCTGGGCCTTGGCAAATGTCACCGTTCCTTTAAATGACCTCTCGCCCTCCCCGATATCGAAGGCCAGATCCGAGGTTTCGGTTGCTATACCTGTGTTGACATTGACGTCCGGTACCATGAAGTTCTTCAGTCGTTCTGGTGCTCTGGCAGCACTCCTGGCTACGACATCTCGTAGGTCTTCGATATCACCAGAGAAGCGTTCTGCTAACATAGTGTGCAAGTCCTTGATGGAGCTGCGGCCCAGTCCCCGACACCGGTCGTCTTGACTGACTCCAAGACTGGCATCATCTTCGACACTTGGTCCGCAACGAGCGCTCAAACGGCCGGGGGCATGACATACGGTTTTGCTCTGCCTCAAACTGCTTTGACGACGGACGCCAACGAATTCGTTGGCTATCTCGTAGGTCTCATAAACCTGCTGTTTCCCTCGCCAACTGACATCATTCGTCCAGCAATGCGCCTCAAAGAACGGCCAGGGCACCGGCTGGTGCGGTATCTCCCTCGGTGGATCGATGACGAACAAGCTGCTTCTCATGGCATGGCCTAGTGGCTCTGATATCCCGACCGCGTTTCGTTGGGCAACGGGCTATGTGATGCCCGATGTCTACGCAGGGGATGCCAAGCTCACGCAGATATCGTCTACGATCAATGCGACGCATTATACACTCATCTACCGATGCCAGAACTGCTTCAACTGGAACCATAACGGTGCCACCGGCAGCGTCTCGACTAGCGCCGGCTCTCTTGTTCTTGGATGGGCTCAAGCCTTCACTAGCCCAACCAACCCCACGTGCCCAGCCTCGATCGGCCTGGTTCAGCACGAGAACCAAGGTATCCACGGAGCCTCTCTCGATGCTAACGCCGCAAACCCCTCGTACTCTGCCTGGGCCGCTTTGGCAACGAAGACCGTCACGGGCAGCTGTGGCGGCGCTACGACAACCTCAGCGCCACCCTCTACCACCACCACGAAGGCACCTACTGGACCTACTGGTGTGCCCGTTCCCTCCGGAACGTACGACTACATTGTTATCGGAGCAGGAGCCGGCGGCATTCCATTGGCCGACAAGCTGAGTGAGGCTGGCAAGAGCGTCTTGTTGATTGAGAAGGGGCCGCCATCTTCCGGCAGATGGGGTGGCACAATGAAGCCAACCTGGCTAGAGGGCACCAACCTGACCAGATTCGATGTGCCCGGTCTTTGCAACCAGATCTGGCGCGATTCTGCCGGCATCGCCTGCCAAGATACTGACCAGATGGCTGGTTGTGTTCTAGGAGGAGGCACCGCCATAAACGCTGCTCTTTGGTGGAAGGTTTGTTGTCGCCGGGTCAATACCAACAAAACTGATGCTAATATCTTACAGCCATATGCCCAGGACTGGGACTACAACTTCCCGGCCGGATGGAAGTCAACAGATGTCGCTGCCGCCACAAGTCGGGTATTCTCTCGTATCCCCGGCACTACGACTCCGTCTCAGGACGGCAAGGTCTACCTGACAAACGGCTTCAACGCCATTGCGGGCGGACTTCGCACTGCTGGATGGTCGGAGCTCGACCTCAACGCGAACCCAAACTCCAAGAATCGCACATTCGGCAAGACGCCCTACATGTATCTCGGCGGTGAGCGTGGAGGCCCCATGGCGACGTACCTTCTCACAGCGAGCAAGCGAAACAACTTCAAGCTGTGGACAAAGACGGCCGTAAAGCGTGTTGTCCGGACTGGTGGACACATTACCGGCATCGAGGTCGAGCCATACTTGGACGGGGGATACACCGGAACGGTCAACGTGACTAGCATCTCGGGCCGAGTAATCCTGTCCGCAGGAACCTTTGGCAGTGCCAAGCTTCTCCTTCGCAGCGGCATTGGCCCACAGGATCAGCTCGAGATCGTCAAGAGCTCCACTGATGGACCTACCATGATCTCCAACGCATCCTGGGTCAACCTGCCCGTCGGATACAACTTGGAGGATCACACCAACGTGGGTCCCGTTGACAGCTTCAGAACACCTGCACATAGGCTAATTGGGCACAGACTGATACCGTTGTCACCCACCCGGACGTACAGTTCTACGACTTCTACGAGGCGTATACTGATCCCAACGTCACTGACAAGAACCTGTATCTGCAGAAGAGAAGCGGTATTTTGGCTCAGTCTGCACCCAACATTGGCCCCCTGTGAGTTGATCCGTTGCCACGCGCTGGCCCTCGTTGCCATTGCTAACGTCATCGTAGGTTCTTCGAGGAGATTAAGGGCGCAGATGGCATCACTCGGCAGATGCAATATACCGCCCGTATGGAGGGCAGTCTCGGGGCTCCCGACGGCAGTAGGTGTTTACCTAGGCTCACCTTCGCTCGATTTTTGATGACTGACACGCCCTACAGAGACCATCACCATCAGCCAATACCTCGGCCGTGGCGCAACTTCACGCGGCAGAATGACTATACAGGCCAACCTCGGCACCGTTGTGTCCACCGTACCCTACCTTCGCGACCAAAATGATGTCGAGGCCGTCATCAAGGGCCTCGAGAACTTACAGACCTCTCTCAAGAGCGTGGCCAACCTTGTCTGGAACTTCCCTCCTCCAGGGACAACCGTCAGAGACTATGTCAACAACATGCTCGTCTCGTACTCGAACCGTCGCGCGAACCACTGGATCGGTAAGTTGATCCCCCGCATGCTCCACTCACACCCGTTCGTAGCATCGGAACCGCTGATTGGCAATGTCGCATAACAGGCACGAACAAGCTCGGCACCAACGACGGTCGTAGCAGTGGAGGCGACTCGGTTGTCGACGTCAACACAAAGGTGTATGGCACAGACAACCTCTTCGTTGTAGATGCCAGCATCTTCCCTGGTATGGTTACCACGAACCCGTCGTCGTACATTGTGGTCTCGGCCGAACACGCTGCCGCCAAGATCCTTGCCCTCGCGACCTCGACAGCGCAGCCGCTGTACGGGCAGTGTGGCGGATCGACGTGGAACGGCAGCTTCCAGTGTGCTGCCGGGCTGAAGTGCACCATCAAGGACTCCTACTACTCTCAGGTAAGCAAGCCTTCTTTCTTATCTCGTGCCCCGTTCTCTCTAGCCCTTTGCTCGGATGAGATGACGATGATATTAACGTGATTGACAGTGTCTCTGAGTGTGGGTTCCGTGGCAGGGCAACCCAAGTCGCGAGGCGCACGTGGCGCTGTTTATTTCCCAGTTCTATCCACCACCTCTTCACGTGTACATACTTTTTTGCATCGTCAATCTTCTCAGTATATATTCCATTGGATTCCTCGTACTTATGTTCCCGAGGTATATTTATATCCACACTTGACCCCATCAACCCTGCGCTATTTATGATGAACAAGTTCTTATTTACCCCTCGGTCCGGCGCTCTTCCCAAACATGCGCACCAATGAAAAGTCCCACTCGGCACCACGCCTAACCCCACACGCCAACTGACGTCGTATCTGAGATCTTCCGGCACCTGGGATCATCCCCAATTCTGCCTCCTTCTGGGGAGAGTCGTGAGGTCCGCCCCTCTTTCTAAGGTTTTGCATTAGTCGACTTTTCCCTGTTCGTTTGCCTGCGATGAACCACGTCCGGCCGTGCCTGGCAGAATTTTGCCATGTGCCTGCCGATGGCGACTGGGGATATGAGAGTATTGATGGGGCCGAAAACATATGGGATGAGCGGTGACCTAATTTCCCTGATTCGAGTATATGCAGCTCACCTCGAGCCGCTCGCTCAGCTCGTGAAGCATTCTGATTGAAAAGCATAAGGTACGGATATGGTATGATTCTATCCACTCTACTTATTTCGTGATGGTCCTCGTGACTATGTACTTGACGGGTACAAACCACGCCCAACCCGGCCCCGAAGTCCCCGGTGCCTTGCATCCCCCGTCACGCCTTGGGTACCCCTCGACACGACACTGGAAGCAGATCTTCCAGCGACGGGAAAACTCTAGCGCCCTCTTGGCACGTTCCGTGGTGACAGTTTGCGGTAGTGTGGGATGGCCGAGCATTCGCCAGTTACGAGGCCAGGAAACCTTGATTTAACCTCGGCGCCGGCCGTGGCGGGGACCAGCTCGTTCGGGCGCGTCTCTCGTCACTGGACTAGACTAGTCGCCCGTAGCGTATCTCCATCTCGGGGTGTCTTCGCCGACAGCTTCGCCGTTGTCAACGTTGCGCGACGATACCCGCCCCGCCATCACGACGCTTGTCCGAGATGAGAGTGACCGGCCCTCTTTCCACCACACCTATGACGATGGCCAGGAATCAACGTTGCGTTTCCCCAGATTGCGGGGTGTGTCAGTCAATCTATGTGGGTTTGACAGCTCTCAGGTCCTGACGAGGACATGATAAAAGAGTCGCCGTCCCCAAACCCAGTGCGACCCGTTCCTTCTCTTCCTCGTGTGCCTCAGCATCCTCCATCCCTTATACTCGATAATCACGATGCCCTCCCTCAAATCCCTCCTCCTCTTCGGCGCAAGTCTGGCCGCAACTTCGGTCCAGGCCACGCCCATCCAGTCTCTCGACTTCAGCGGCATGTCCCTTGCGCCCCGCGCCGACCCGAGTCTGACAGGCTACCTCGGTGCCTTCTTCCTTGGCGCAGATCCGTACGTGTACTTGTACCTCTCCAACGGGAACAACCCAACGTCGTTCCGCGCGCTCAACTCTGGTTCGCCTGTGATTCGGCCGACTAAGGGAACGGGCGGTGTGCGTGATCCTGCTATTGTCGTTGGTGGTGGCGCAGAGAAGGGGAAGAAGTGGTATATCGTTGGAACGGATTTGGACATCGCAAAGGTAAGCTTGTGTTCATGATTCTCTGTGTATGGGGACTCGCGCTGATCGTGATCTTGTTTAGACTACCTGGGATGCTGCTCAGAGACAAGGGTCCAAGGGCATTTTCGTCTGGGAGAGCACGGATCTCGTCAACTGGACCAACGAGAGACTCGTTGTTGTCGAGAACTCCAGTGCCGGCATGGTGTGGGCTCCCGAGGCCATCTGGGATGCCTCCAAGGGCCAATACCTCGTCCACTGGGCCTCCAAGTTTGTGAGTCAACCAGCCTTGACATGACTTCCCTCTTCCAAGGCAGTCGGAACTGACCAGGGCGTAAACAGTACCCCACTTCGGACCCGAACCACACCGGCAGCCCCGGCGCCATCGTAATCCGCTACGCCTACACTTCGGACTTTAAGACCTTCTCCACCCCGCAAACCTATATTGACAAGTCCCCCACCAACATCATCGACCTCAACATCCTCCCCACCGGCACGGACGGCAAGTCGTTTGTGCGCTTCCTCAAGGACGAGTCCCTCAAGACCGTCTTTGTCGAGGTCTCCACCACGGGACTGTTCGGCTCCTGGACCCGTCCCGGCGGTAGCTCCGCCGTTATTGCCAGCGGTGTCGAGGGTCCTGCTTCGTACTGGGATAACCAGGTTGCTGGCAAGGCGCATGTTCTGCTTGATTTCTATGGTGATGATGGGTATAGGCCGTATGAGACCACTAATGTGGCGAGTAACTCGGGCTGGACTGCTAGTTCGAGAACTGGGTTCCCTAGTGGGTTGAGGCATGGTGGTGTGCTGCCTGTTAACCAGACGATTTATGATGCTTTGGGAAAGCGCTGGGGTTAAGCGAAAGGAGGATGTAGAGAGGTTGTAAGTTGTGTATATAATCCGCAGCTGAGCGAGCTGTATGAATGAACATAATCACCAAGACTTTCTGTGCTGGTACCGTGCCCACTTTGCTCCTGTCGCCGCTGATTGCATGCCGCATTTACTCGTATTCCTCTCCCGTTTTCTACACGTACCGTTAAATATCAAAGAAAATGCACTTGTATACTTCGGGATTCCCGGAAGCATGAGCCAGTCCTTTCCGTCATCATATCGTGGCCTGAGAATGGAGTCAGGAGCGGACGGATCAAGTTGCTAACAGAGTCCTGGGGTAGCTCAACAACGTAGAATAGGTGCGAGAGTTAGAAAATGACTTAAGGCATCAGGGTAAGACACAGCCACGAGTATTGAGCAAAGAAAAATAGTTCTCGAATATGCAGACAGCCGGCGCGCCGGCAGGAGCCCCGTATAAAGCTTGGTCGGATGAAAAGAATCCATGAGTCTACCTACACCAATGAACACGTCAAGGCCAGGAGCATCTGTAGATTACCTTTCCTATCGTCCAAGATTTCGCGCGCATCATTGAACTTTAATGAGTCTGGGTTGAAGGAAAGTGAAAAGGATCAGAATGCCAAATAAAAAGAAGAAAACCAGATGTAAGGCAAGAATACTGAGCTACCTATGACTTTATGTAGGGCCACGAAATCCGAACTCGCATTCTTGCCAAAACCAGGCATACAACCATCCACCACTAGGCCATGTACACTTCAGGCGCTGCTCATGCCTTCCTCTGCGTCTTAATCGCACATAGAGCCTCGTCAGTGATTGGTACTTCCAGAAGTTCCCATTTACTCTTTACATGTATCTTTCCAGGCTTCCTCGAAATTGCACGTAGTTTCAGGCCTGTGCAGAACAAAAGTCTGGCAATAATCGCGCTTGGCCAGGATCTGAACAAGCCTGTGCAACGGATAGAAGGTATTGCAACCTTGTCAACTCCAGAGACTCATTAGACATATCCAGAGACACCTTAGATATGTCAATAGACTCCAGCCCAATCTGATAAGACAGCTTTGCGTAGATTATAGACACCAGTCCCAGAACGAATCCCACGATTGAAAGAAGCAGCGCCGCACTCGCAATGACGAAGTTCGCCGATTCCAAGACATTTAATCGATCTGGAGTGGGGAAGAATTGCCAAATCCCTCTTCTTGGGCCTTTTGCAATAGTCAAAAGGCGATCTAGATTCGTTCCCCAGTACATATATTTCTTTAAATCGGTGCTTGGGACTCTACCGCAATGACCCAAGCTGTAGAACTCTTGCTCTCGACTCTGTAGAAATCGTCTCGTGTGGTCATCATCAGGAGGGAAAAGCACATTGAGCGTATCCAGGGCTTCAAGCAACAGAGGCTGTGGTACTAGAGACTCCGATCGGCCGATTTGCGAAGATAGCCAGATTTTATGCTGGAAGATCCATACAAGTCTCGATTCCTCGTCGATAAGAAGATGCTGATTCAGAAAGTCCGTCCACACGACAGTGTAGCCGTGGAATTTGACCAGAGACCGTATCGTGAGGTGCGGGGTCAAGGCGCCATATTTCGAGTCCAGGCTCGGTACTTCCCGATAAAATGCAGACAATGTATTCTTCAGTGAACTTCCGCATTCCCATGACACTGCTTGGTGTTCAGATATGTTTGAATTGGGCAATATCTGAACACTCGTCATTGATTCGAGAGTTGCGGCCAATCAAATAACTTCCATCACTTGTCGATCCTGGGCTCCCGGCTTTGTAGTTTTGAGGCTGAATGCTCTTACAATGTCCTCTACGAACATTTGTTCTGGCCCTCTGACAGAAGCCACAACTGTCTCGACTGTGCCGATGTCATCGATTTCCGGCAGAACTTGTTCTATAGCCTCTTGTGAGGTAGTGATGGCATTTTTCACGCAGGCTGCCATCGTCATATATTGACCAGAAAGGTAGACTTTGTCTGCCAAAGCTGGCCAAACTCGCTTGCAAATTTCCAGTATCGTTGGGGTCGCCTCTCGCCGACTTTCTGAAGGCCATTTCGGGAGAATATTCACCGGCTTCGATGTGAAAATTGTAGAGATTCAGAATGATGGGCAAGGGTGTGGACGCCGACGTGACTGTAGCTAATTGCCTGTCGTCGGTCAGCGCGACTGTCGACACTACAAGTATTTGAAATGAACTCTTCGAAGTTCAAAGCTCGTTTGCCAAAAGAACATGTACATGGGCCCGAGGTCAAGGTTCCTATTGGTCCACGTTTCAATGCTTGAACATATCACATATGGTGGCTAAGATAATCAGGCTGTGTGCTATAAAGGTATCAAATCAACGGCATCGATTGGCTTTGCCGTTCTTTTGCGCAGTCTTGCACCGCCCCCTTTTCCAGATGCTAGAAAGCCTGTAGTCTGCCTTTCAGGCGCAGTACAGTTTATGGGCGGCTCTGCAGTGAGAATAAGAGTCGAATAGTACGCCACAGGCCGTTGACCAGAATTAGTCAAGAATCATGGGCAACAGAACAAGACGGGAGCCATCCTTCTATGGCTCGAGATCAAAGTCTTTTACTTTGGTCACCTCAGATAAACCTTTGTCGAAGAGAAATGCGTCCCGTTACTGGCGTGCAGTCCTTCGCACTGGATGACGATGATGATGACGCGACCATCGCCTCAGGAGATTACTGCCGTGGCCCAGAGACCAAACGACAGCGGACGCATATGATCACACAGGGCATATCGACACCCAAGAATACTATCTCACCACCATCAAGAACCAATGAGGACCTCACAGCTGGATGTTCACAAGATTTAGAGGCAGACGGACCTGTTGGGGCTACGCCGCTCCCACTGTATGAGACTCTGCTTCCGCCAACGGCCCAGTCGCCCCCACCTACGTCGGCCCCTATCATCAACCATGACTTAACTACTACCAGTGTTAGTCAGAACCAGCAGAGCCTCTCACAAATGCAAACAGACGAGGTTGCCACAAGTCACACACTACCAGTGAGCTCTCCCCATTTATGGCAATTTCCGAACACGACAGTCTGGGTTGCGCTAGAAGACCACATTCCTATCCCGTCAAAGCATTTGTCCGTGTGGACTGCCATTAAAGGCCAACTGCAGTTGGATCTGGACACAGTTGTCACGGCAATGGTTGCAGAGCAGGCGAAGGCAACGAACCGGGTGAAGCGGACGGATACTTCGAGGAGAACGATCTTCCCCGAGCTCCGAATGTCAGGTCATCAACACAAATTCTTTTCAGACTTGGTCACAGTATCACCTTGTGTGTGGATACTCTGTGGCAGCAAATCTTGTCGCAACAAAGTCCGCCGTCTTATGCGGCACCGACAGCTTCCCGAGCTCTTTATGAACCAAGCCGTAGAGATCCACGAGAGAGCGCCTAGATTCTCTGCTATCCAAGCAATCGTTCCCCTTCCTCAACTTCTTTCCGACATCGAGAGGCACACTGGGGTTGTTCACGGAAACGGTACCATACTCTATCACATGGAGTCACCTAGAGAAGTGTTCAAGGCCCAGTCAGCGTGTGGCTTACTCTGCTGCGCAACCTTTATCAAAAACGGCAAAATAGTCGACCAGCGTATATCTCGGATAGGAGGGCTATTATCCGATAGCACCAAAGACCCAAGACGTCCAATCGCAATAACAACCTCTCACGGTCTATTAATTTGCTTATGGGCAGAGAAAGAGGATACCGATCCATCCATGTCCGCCCGAGAAGACACAAAGCACCCTATGGAGCTTTGCAGTGACACCGGGGACTATGAATCACTGTTGGCAAATGGGTCAGATGATTACTCTGAGTCTGAAAGCGGAACTGAAAGCGGAACTGAAAGCGACACTGACAGCGACTTCCCACCTGGCTCAAGCGGTAACGGAAATGACGAGCCGAGTTCAGATATCGGTGGGACAGGAGACTCAGACTGGGATTACTTGTTGAACTACGACGAGCATGTTGAACAAGCTTTGCCTGATCCAGATGGATTTATTGGAACTCAAGAAGCGAGAAATTTTCTTGGAAGAAAAAGCCCTAGATCTATAACGAGATGGAGTTGTTTGGAAGACATTATGGGCGTCAGGCTCTGCGGGGAACGCATTCCTGCGTTATGCAACAGGCCCTTACCCACTCTACCAGCCGACTATGCGCTTCTCAAGTCAGATGTTCTATCGACTCTCAAGAATGTGTCCTCGTGGATATCAAACATCGAAATCACAAACTCTATTCCTAACGATACGCTGGAAGATGGCCATTTATCACTTCTTCTAAGTCCCGAAGAAGCGCACGACGTCATTTTATTGCCAGGGGTGACTGCAATGCCTTTCGCGGAGGAAAAGCTGGTAGTTCGGAAACTTCAGTTATCAAAGCCATTAGGTGCCGTTAGATTCCAATTTAGGATGAGAGACATAACTGACTGATATGCAGCGGAAGGAACATCGGGAACATGGCTGTCCAGAGGATCGTCGTTTGCCGGAATGGTGGTTGCGACATTTCTTGGCCAGCCTTTGGCCCTTATGGTCACTGCCGAGGACATTATGAATGATATGGGATGTTGGTTTCCAATCGAGGAAAATACTGATGCGCCAAAGCAGCTGGTTATTGATGACTCGAACGCCCAAGCAGCGTCCGGGAGAGTGTCTGAAGCCTACACCGTTTTTGCACCTTTGAATCGGGATTCAGTCGAAACAGAGAAATCAGTACACACTTTACTCAAAGAACCGCAAAGTATATCCAGTCGGAGTTTACATGACGAGTCACAGCCGATTACAGGTAGCGTTATACTTTGCTGAGGTCTTTTGACCACTGACACGTAAGTTTGCTAATAATATGTCAGTATCCTCTCAACCACCACTGGGAGGAAAGATTCGGAGTCATGGGAAGTTTACTCGAAATAAAATCAACGTGTGGTATTGTGTAAGTCGAGCGAGCTTGTTAATTCTTCGGAGCGTTCGAGTTGCTGACAACTCTAGTCCAATTGTTCATATGGCCCATGTAGCGAGCATACAGATACACACTGTCCCCAATGTGACCACTGGCGCTGTCACTATTGCCGAATATACACGATAGAAGCTCCTAGAGACCGCTAGTATTAATAGGGATATTCGCCCTGCAAACGTTTGCTTAACTCTAGGTAGATTCGAATTTCGAGATACTAGTTACAGTGGTTATCAAACGTCTAAGAATAATGAGGCGAGACGATCCGCCACTCGGCGCGATCGGCCTCTTCCTCAAATAAATAGATGTATTAAAAGCCTTTGATAGTTGCGACATGTGAAAGAAACCAAAGTCAAAGTAAACAAGCGATCATACATTGAATTGCTATAATGCTACTCAAAGTAAGGGAGTGTACGATGCACATAGCTCGCTCAGAAACCCATATCTATACATGCGCAGCCACTCTCTTCTTTATCATAGAAATCGAATTACTGTCAGTTTATATTCAAGGGCCTCTACATTGGAGTGGGACGAAAGAGTTGCTGTGGTAGGTGTCGCGGCTACGGGCCTATAACCAGGTCACCGGACGACGACTGAGTCTAAAATCCCAAGTATCCGAAGTCCGCAGTCGGTTGACAAAGCTCATTTTCAGGAAGATTATCCACGATGGAATACTGCAGATTCTGTGCCAGACATATGAAGATTTAATTATGTATTAAATTCATATTTAGTGAAGTACGACACGCTCGCTCGGCTGGTAAACAACATGAATTTACAGGGTTAAGCCAGGAGACAACTTCACTAGAATAACTTACACAATTATAGTCATCAGCCCTCTCGGGCCGAAAAGTAGGGATGAACTGTTGGAGGAGTTCGTGCGGGCCAGGAATAGCAGCCAGGGGAACAAATACCTATCGTGTCGGTCGGTAGTTCATCCGCCTCCCTACCCATCGGACACTTCTTCTAACAAGTTACAATTTGTTATAGCGAGTCAGCAAGCAACGATGTCCGTCGTTTAAGGTGTTTGATGTGAGAAGGAAATTTTGTTCCGCCAAACGCCAAGCTATTTTCCTGTTCCAAAGTCGTCTGGACAATTCCCGTCAACTCAACAAAGCTCCTCCCCTCTTCAAGCGCCAACCCTCCTTGATGAGCCAGTACGAAGCCATGACCGGCGTTGTGAGAAGACCGAGAACTCCTCCAAGGATCCCTTTGAAGGCTTCGGGCGCCCACGTGCGTTGGAAATACCAGTCCCAATCATTCCCTGATCCCCGGGCTCCGATAACGGTTAAAATTCCGACTGAGGCTGGCCAGAGCAGAAAAAATGAAACAACGAAAATCAAGCCGATTCGCATAACGTGTTCAGCAAACACCGAAAGCCTACTTTTAGTGTGCATCGCGTCTTCTAGATTAAGCATCATGAACCATCGCAAGAATGGTTGCGAAGGTTCTTCGATGAAGCCTATTGGGCGGACGCCCCCATTCTTCATGTCGCGGTTGGCCAGAAAAAGCTCGATGAACCATGTCATTGCCGTTTGGATGATCATGGTGACCACTGCATCGCCAGCTAGTGTGTTGGGCAACTGGAATAGGCGAATAGGATTGCGCGCAATGTTCTGAGTTGAGTACATGCCTGCATAGTTTGTGTCAATAAACTCTCATGTTCTTGCTTGGTTCGCCAAAAGCTTAAGCTCAACAAACTGTTGCGGGGCCTTACCGTAAGCGATGGCAAAATTTATGCCCCCAGAGAGAACTCCAGCACCAATACCGTCGAGTCCAAAGATATAAAAAATCTGATGTCCACTGATGCTCTCCGTTGGCTGCTTCTGATGAGATTCAGAGGGCTTGACTTGAACGCCAGCCTCGATGTCGCTTTCATTCGAGACCCTCTCATTAGAGACCCTCTCGTTGCTATTGCCGCCGGCATATGGTGAGGCCGTATTGTCTTCGAACGACTTGTCCGCTATGCGTTCGTGTTTCCTGAATGGCATGTTGTCCGAAAGTTTAGGATAGAGCCTTTCTCATGGAAGGAAAAAGTTGTCAATTGTCGAACCAGGACAAGTCTTTATTGCAAACTATGCCATCTGTCTTTGTTTTGAAGGAGGCAACTTGTTGCGGAAGAGGGTGTGAAGGGGGGCAACGAGCAGGGGGTCTGGAAGGGTTTTTTCCCTTCCTTTAAAAGGGGGTCCTAGGTGACTCGTGAGGCTGCTTCATGATCGCCGAAAATTTCCGGAATGACCGGGGGAGGCTGTCGAATATTGGTTGCTTTGGCGTTTCGGTCAGTGGGCTTGTGAGGTGACACGGGTAAGAGAATCAAGCGAACCGACAAAAGTCCACTAGCTTGACTAGCTCCTAGACGAAGCGGCACGGATGGAAAAGGGTCCGTGATCTTCTCTATCCGTCTACGGATAGATGTGGATGTTTATCAGCGCACAGACTAGATCGGGAGTGCCGGGGCTGATGGAGACTGGCAGATTCCCATCTTTGCGTCAGAGTTGCTATGCACAGCGGCAGCTGGACGAATCAGGTGACTTCTAGAATCTTTATTTCCCGTCGGTTGCGTTCGTCTGCATAATCCTCCTATCGAAACAGCCTTCTTCCTTTGGAGAACGGACTATGGCTGATATGCAGCAGCAGAATGCATCCGAGCTTGGGTTCCAGCCAAACGTGGCTGTGCAATGTCAACGACTTGCGCTGTTGTTTAGAATTAATCATGCGAACCAGAGGAGGAGGTTGGAGGGGAAAAGAGAACATCAACTCGTGCCACGATAGTCCCAGTCTTGGGCAGGCGAATACGGTCTACGACCGGAACTGGCCCGTGATCGACAGCTGGCAGCGCCGGCCTTTTGGATGGATTGCCCATGTAAGTCGGGGGCGGCCCCGCAGAGACCTTACTGATCCCCTCCGGAGCGGATAGGACCATCCCAGATGCCACGGCTGGGAATAGGATCTACTCCCGCCTCCACCACTTGCTCAGTGCCAACAAAGTCTTGCCAACATGGATCCCCCCACGAAGTTGTCTCCATCACGTTCCGCCTTCCAGTCGATCACACAGTGCATTGGTAGTAACATGAAAGCGCCGCCGGTGACCCAAAGGTCCTAAAGCGCATCGACGATTTGCGTCTCATGTTTGAGGAGACACACTGGGTTTTACCCCTCCCTTGGAGAAAGAAAGACCCGTCGTTTATGGTGTTCCATGCAACAAGATCGAATGAAAAGCCAAATGAAGCCTGGAATATGAGATCAATGACTCGGCATCCCTTGAAACATTGTTTTCCGTACATACATAAACGTGGCTGGCCATATCCGGTCGCGCACTCCGGTCCCCCGCCCCCAGCTTTCTCCTCGACGTGATCAGGAGTCACCTTACGAGTGCCAGGCGCACAGAAAAGAAAGCCTTCAATATCCGTTGTTTGCGCAAGTTGGACATAATCAACTTCTTTCATTTTACTCTGCTTTTGAACCCTGAAACGATGCTCGACGGCTACGAGTGTGACCCCGACGACAAGATGAGGGGCCCATCAATGGACATTGACGAGAAAAGCACCGCCTTTTCTCAAGCTCAGATCTCAACACCTGTATGACTCGACCAGCGCCAGTGCACCATCTGAATATCCAAACTGACTTTAACATCCATCTAGCCGGCAGCAACAAGGAGGCACACAATCAACACCATGATGACTACCACGATCATTCCAGAACCCACACCGCCGGTCGCGGACCCTCAACGGCGATTCTCCTGGCTGCCGAGATCCGCCACCCCATCCCTGCGCAGCCCCACATTCCGGCGGCGAACGGCGAGCCCGTTTGATGACGATGATTATTCATATGCCGAGAGCAACCCTTTCGGAGAAGACTTCAGAGAGCAAAATGAGCAGGCTGCGCGAGATTGGGACCGGGAGCATGGTCACGATCAAGGGGAGAATCCTTTTGAAGATTGCGAGTACGAACTGCCACCAGCGGCGGTGAAAAAGGATGGGACTTGGACCAAATTCAAGAAGGCTATGAGTCCACGACGTGCCATCAGTAAGTGGAAATATCGGAAGGTGAAGCATGAGGGTATGCGACCTGGGCCAGATGATCCAGACCACGGAGAGGACGGCCGTCATCAGGGACAAGTCTCTTGATTTTGAACACAGTTAGTCAGCCCGGAAAAGGCGGGATGACTGCTACAGCACACTTGATACCACTTGGGCGGTTATTTTGCTACAAGGATTTGCTTTCTTTTTTTGATCCAGGGGGAAGGGAAACGGCGTTGCCTTCAAAAAGAAGTGTTTTGATACCTAGATGCCTTTGAATTACCTGAAGCGACGAATGAAAAGACAACCAGGCATTGTCTACATGCGATTAAAACAATCAGAGTCCAATCAGATATTCCAGTCATCCTGCAGGCAGATTCTTATGTTGTTTCTGAAAACCAACTACAGTCGAGTTCATATCCGGGGTAAGCAATGGTAGATCACAGAAAAGTATCAGGGGTTAGGTAGTGTCCAATGATTGTGTGACTGTCAAGCATTTCAAGAAGTTGTCCTCGTCAATATGCAGAGAAATGAGACGCACTAAGCCGTCCAGACCTGTGTCAAACTTTTCACTATAATTACAGATTAAGAAGCCTTTTCATCTCATCGCCCATGACGCCTGGATGCGGCACGACTATTGCACCCGCTTCTTCAAGTGCCTTTGCTTTAACATCGGCGGGCACATCCCTCGGAGATAGAATAGCACCGGCATGTCCCATCGTCTTGCCTTGCGGCGCTGTTCTCCCAGCAACCATTGCAATTATAGGTTTTGGGTCTGTCGTCGATTCTCTGTAGTTTCTTATGGCCTCCGCTGCTCTCAGCTCAGCTTCGCCACCGATCTCGCCAATGACGATTATACCCTGGGTATTTTCATGCTCAAAGAACAACTTGAGCCCGTCCAAAAGTGTGGTACCTTGAACAGCAGATCAGAACACATTCAAGGGTGTGTTGGAGGGGTTTCCGCTCACCTGGCATCATATCACCTCCCATTCCGACAACGATACTCTGTCCTAGACCAGCTTTGCTTGTAGACCCTACAGCTTCGTAACTGAGTGTTCCACTCTTGGACACAATACCAACAACACCCTTTTTGTACTGCTTGTATGGCATGATACCAATGCGACATTGGTCAGGAGCGATGATTCCGGGGCAATTGGGCCCCACAAGCCGCGTTTTACTTTGTGTTCGGAGAATCTCTTGAACCCTAGCCATATCGTGAAGAGGCACATGTTCGGCAACTGAAACTACGAGCGGAATCTCAGCCTCGATTGCTTCAATGATAGCCCCTGCTGCAAATTGAGCGGGAACAAAGACAGCGCTTGCATGTGGCTTCACAATCTCTACGGCCTGTAGACATCACCTCGTTGGTTAGAACGCATAGGTTAGAAGATATTGAGTGTCATACTTCTTTCACTGTGCCAAATACAGGGAGGCCGAGGTGATCCTGACCGGCCTTCCCAGGAGAGACACCCCCGACAACTTGAGTGCCGCATTCTATCGTGTCTCTCGCGTTTTTGGTGGCCTAGTATCGGTCAGTCTCACAGGTAACAGAAGTCATAACGATTTCGCCGATGCATGCTACGCACTGCTTTACCAGTAAATCCTGATGAAAGGTTAACGAAATTCCAAAGTCTGAACACAACTCATGCATTGGCTTGTTATCACTTTGCCTACCTTGATATATCACTCTTGTATTCTCATCGATGCTCAGATTGGCAATGGTACTTTCGTATGTACCCCGTTTCTCGGCTGTTGACGAAAATGCTTTGGCGAATCTGGGAATGGGGAGTTTCCGAGGCAAGCAATTGAGTTGAAAGAATTTCGTTGCCATAGTGCCCTGCGAACTTTCTTAGCTCTATTTCTAACAAGGCTGAAGGTACTCTGTCTATTGGTACACGACCTAGGGCGGAGTTGGATGAGAGTCAACAATCAGAATGGTGCTAGCATGGATGGTATCTAGAGAATGAACACTGAGTCGGTTATATGACTGCATATAGCCGAATAGCTGCCGGGGTGATGTCATTGGCGCATCAGGGATCCCCGCATTCGGTAACACCAAAAGATTAGTTCCGGCTGCATGCCGCCCCACTCACTTCATTACCAAGGTTCCCTGATATCCCACAAGCTGTCGAAAACTTCTTGGGACAAACTGGTTTAGTCAAAGAAAGTATGGCTTCATACCTCATAATCCTCTACTCCTAGATTCCCTCGCGCCTGGAAAGAAATGTTGGCCTTCGGCAGGCGGCTATGACAAACCTCCGCAGGCGAGCCCGCCAGGCATGTCAGGCCTGCAATGCGCGACGCGTCAAATGCAATGTAACCGAGCAAAGACCTTGTCACAATTGTACAACAGCCGACACGCCTTGTGAACTACGCGAGTCGAGACGGGGCAAGCATCCTCGCCCATCACGGCGAAACGCAATTTCAGACAACCAGCATGAAGGCGGGCTAAACCAGGCCGGATCCTCGCCATCTTTCATCGACACGGGTCTTGTTGATGAGTCGTTGGTGACTGAGAGTGATGAGCACTTTGCCGCATCTCAAGCACTTGCTGATCTCGCGAGACCCCGGGAAGTAGAAGGTCCGGAAGATCAGGGAAGCATCACAGTACAGCCTCAGTCGCCTGCATTGGCACCAAGCAACAGGCAAGAGGATGATAGCTCGGTCTTCCTGGGCGAGTCGTCTTCAATACGTTATGTCACCAACAACAACCCAACGCCGCCAACAGCAGGTATATCACCACCAGAGAACTTGAGATTCCTACATGCCGTGCCTCACGCTGTAAGAGCTGAGAATTTGCTACCTGATTGGGAAGTCGAACGCAGAAGGTCGAGGATTCGTTCTCTCAAAGCAGAGGGCGTCTTTTCATTCCCACCTGCATCAGCGGTCGAGACGTTACTCAAGGCCTACTTCCAATGGTTTCACCCTTGTTTTCCTGTCGTGGATGAGATAAATGTCTGGGCGAGCTTCAAAGATGGCACTTTGTCCCCTCTGCTACTACACGCGATCCTCTTTATAGCCGTCATCCACTGCGAGGAAGACGCCCTACCAGCCATTGGCCTGGGAGGCCGTCACGTTGCCAAGTGGGTGTTCTACAACCGCGCAAAGGACATTTACGATGTCGAATTCGAATCAAAGAAGTTCACCGTCACCCAAGCTCTATTTCTGATGAGCTTTTGGAGGGCCGGCTTGCTCCTGGAGAAAGACGCCCGGCATTGGCTTGGCGCAGCCATCAGTCTTGCTCAGACAAAGGCGCTTCATCGGTCCTCGAGATCTGCTACCACCGAGAAGAAGACCGAACGACTTTCTAGGCGCTTGTGGTGGGCCATATACATCCGCGAAAGACAGTGTGCCGCAGCATTGGGCCTACCGAATAGGATTCGAGATGAAGATTGCGACATCGAGCCGCTGGGGAAACTTGACTTTGAACGCGCCTTTGACTCAAGTTTGCCGAATCCAAAAATACAAGAGTACAGCTCATACTTCATCGGCACAGCCCAACTCTCCAGAGTGCTTGGAAGGATTGTGCACAGCGGATACCTCCCCAGCAAGTCACTATCCCCGACCGATCGGTCTCAAATCAGAGAAGACCTTGTGAGATGGAGACAGCAATTGCCTGCAGTTATATCGTTGGCGAACAATGACTTTGGCGATGCGGCGGGCTTTCATGCAAGTATGTTGCAAATGGCCTACAACAATCTCCTCATCCTATTGTACAGATCAGGTTGCATCGGCACCGCCGAAGAGAGCAGAGAAGTGGACGGTCAGATCGCCCTTCAAGCCGCAGCAAGAAACTCCCGCATCATCGAGGATATGCTCCTGGAGGGAAACTTGCGTCACGGGCAAATCCATGTGATCACAAATCTCTTCAACACGCTTTGTATCCATACGGTCCATCTTCGCTCTTCAAATGGTGCTGGGAGATCCATCATCGAACACAGGGCGAAGCTTTGTCTCTTGGGCCTGCAAGAGCTACAAAAAACCTGGGAGGTCAGGATGTGGGTGTTACAGTTATTTTTTCAGTATCTAGATCAATCGACAGCTGCACGACTACGTATGCAAGACGACTTTGCTTTCTCTTCTGGGCTTGATAGTATGCAGGACGCAAATATAGTTTCGATGAGTGGGCTAGATCAAGGCGCAGCCGAACGTGATGGGACAGACAAGCTCGAGGTGTTGGCGTCTGAACCACCATGGTCCTGGTCTACGGAACAAGCAAACCAATTCCTTTTCACGCAGATTGAACATGACTTTGCTTTTGGCGAGGGTGGTATCTTGAACTGGAACCCGGGCACACCGGCAAACTTGTTGCCATCTGAGGGCAGCGATTCCCCGATAGTAGTAAGCTTCTAAATGCTGGCAATTGGTCGCCTATCTATAGAGTATGATATTACTACCAGACCTATGTAGGAGTAGGTAAAGTAGTGGCTAAAAGCCGTCAATACCAAATTCCTCGCGGAGAAATCAGTATACATGATATCAATATGTAGATACATGAAAGTCACGTCAAAACAGTGATTGGCCAAGTCGATGACTACTCAAATGCTAGAGAAGTGCGGGTATGCACATCAACAGGGAACCTAAGTCTTTCAGCCGGGATGGAATAGTATTTGTCGTATGTTTCACTGCGCTATTAGGATGCGGAGGAAGGGGGAACTGAGCATCGTCCACCCGTTCCTCTTCAGTGAAAGTATGTGGAGGCCGTTTGAAGCGCCCAAACCGCCTGCTAATTAGCGCTTCACTCGACGCAACTTCAACTATCAAAACAACAGGTAACACAAATAACTGCTAGAAATCTGCCCTAGATCAATGCAATTTCGAGGCGGAAGTTAATTATATAAGATAGCCGGATTGATTTCTTAGAATTTCCTTAATAAAAACTAAACCCCCCCCCCCTCCTCTTTTTTTTATACAAAAGTAGGTCTTATGAAGGAAAACTCGTACCTATCATACCGAAGTGAGGCAATTACTTAATTTGAACAATTAATGGAAAATCCCCCTCATAATCGATTAACTTAAAGGCCAGATTTGCGTTGATTGCGTTGATTGCGTTGAGTGAACCGTTGCTTTTCATTCCCCATTTCTGCCCAATACTCAATATCCCAACAGTAAATCAGTTTACGTACATCTTTCTGCAAGCCAGTCGACCTTTCTGAGGGCACCTGGGTACACCAAGATCTCCGTCTAAGAAGAAAACCGCTCCATAGTTCCATGTTAGTTTCCGGCAAAACGTTCAATCACTGAGTCCTACATTGCCCGCTTGAAAGGACTTTCAGGCATTATCATCTCTGGTCACCAAGAACTTGTTGAGAAAGGCGGTATGGTCCTCATCTGACTGACTAGGGGACGGCGAGGTGTTGGGTGTTGTGATACCTGATGTTGCCCTAAATGAACTTAGGCCCGAATGTGTGGATGTTTCTGTACTGAGGCTTGATCTAGACGGTCTTGGATTGACGCCAACCTCATGTAAGGTTCGCTTTGAATTAGATCCGGCCACTGTAGGAGGGAAGTAAGGAGACTGATCGAGGCCATCTGGCACGAGTGTTGGAATCGATTCTTGGCTGCGCGGTCGGGGCTGATTATGTACCTTCCCACCGGCAGCAGCATCTGGCGAAAGAGACGAGGAACTTTCTCGTCGGATACTCCTTTCAGGCGTGCCAATCAGAATTGGGCTTTCACCTCCCTGTATGTGACGTTAGCTAAGAGGTATGAGTGCCTGAGACCTCTACGTACAAAAGGAGACGCCGGAGATTGCGGAGGGAACTTTGACGGATCAGAAACACCGGAAGTTCCCATTGTAGCGTAATATGCGTTATTTTTGCTCCTCTGTAGCAAGTCTTTGATCACCGGTTGTATCCGAGAGCAAACCCATCTTTCCTTGGAGTCTGGCACAAGCATTGTGAATTGAACGAGGTCCAATAGCTCATGCAATGGCTCAGCGCAGTTGTCCTGCTTGTGTAGAACATCAATCCACTGTTTTCATTAGCATCTTGCACCATATAATCAATGAAAAGGGTAACAAGCCTGGTTATTCGCTTACCCTGAGAACGGACGCCTTGACATCGGCTGTAGGACATGTTGTGTTTTGACAAGAGTTGAGATTGAAGAATTGATCCTCGCCAAGAATCGATCCAGTATGGATGCGGTCTTCCTCAATTCGTGTGTCCGAAAATTCTTTCCGTGTCCGAAAATTGCCAACGAGAAACCAAGACACGAATTCGAGGAAGACACAACCTAGGGACCAGATATCATACCGCTGAGATATATTGCCTTTCAGGTCTATGTCAGGAGGTCTGTATGACCCTGAAAACCCCATGACTGAATCATGAGCAACTTTGGACCTTGAGTCAGCACTGTTGAACCGAGTTAACCCAAAGTCGGAAATCACAAGAAAATCACGGTGACACTCTTTATACTCCTGGAACCAAAGAATGTTTTCAGGCTTGATGTCACCATGTCGACCCCAGTGCTTGTCATCAAACAACATCCGGGGACGATCAGAAACAGGGGGTAAGGTATCTGAGTTAGACATAGTTCTCAGATGGTGTATCTTTCGAAGAGCACGGACGAGGCCCAACAATTGCTCTAGTAGCCAGACGGTCTCGATATGGTTGCTAGGGTCGGCGGTTCGTCGTTCCCAAAACTCACACAAGTTTCCATCGGCCCAGGGGAAGACGAGATAGTAAGACTGTCCATGTTTGTAGGTGAGTTGAAGCTGGATCAGATGGTCCGGACCGTGTTCATTCGACTGTGCTCCTAACCTCTCAAAGAGCTCCACTTCTCTTTCATACTCGTCTTGACATTCAGAATGGAGCTGTTTGATCGCGAAGTGCCGAGAGTCTTTTTCTTGATCCTGAGAATAGAGTAAGAATACCAGCGATTGTCTATCCATTCGTTTGCTACTCACTTTAGAGACAGTACCATTGTTGTAATGAGCTGGGTGGATTGACACTTTCCTCACGCTTCCATACCCGCCGACTCGGACCAGCTTGTATGTCTTGAAAGGTAGAATCGTTTTGGAATTGAGTTCGTAGTAGTGCACTACATGGCCTGCCAGTTGGAAAAACGGCGTGCAAATGATCTCCTGCCATTGAATGAAAGAGCTGAGATGTCTGGAATGCCAGTGGTCCAAGCAATGAAGAATCAGACCATTCTCTGTTTGTAGCTGGATGACTGGTTCTTGATCCGCTTCTCGTTTGATCTTCAGGGGTAAGATTCTATCATCAATGCCGTTTTCGATGAAATCTTTGATCAGCTGTACTTGCTCCATCAGGATTAATATGGCGAATAGCTTGCGTCTTTTCGGCTGGTACCCTGCTGTCATTGGATTTTGCTCGCCGCTAATATCAGTTGCCCAGCTATTGAGGATCACTGGCTCGGTATCCACGAATGCATGCCCCATGAGCCTTCGTACAACTGACGGAGTGACTAGTTGGCGAAGTGCATCTAGAGGCAAAAAACTTCTGTCCTCTAGAGCCGACGTTTGGCTAGCGGCAAATATGGCGTTGCTAACAGATTGAACATCCACGTAAGCGTCCGTTGTTGCTTGTGGCTGTGATGAAAGAGATTTCGATGGCGATGTCCCGGATTCGTTCTGATTAGAGTAAGACTCCCACTCAATATGGGCTGAATGGCCCATGTCTCTAACTGGTACGATGCTGATGAAGCTGCAACTAGAAGCCCCAGCATCAGATGAACAACCGTCGAATGAGCTTGGGTTCTGGATTCGTCCACTGACGTGACGAAATCCCCTTGGCGCCTCGTCAAGACATGTTTCGGTGATCTTGAAGTCGGCACCGTTGAAGCGCCATGACCAAGGTTGGGGAGGGACGCCTTGAACCGAGTCAGCTCCTGTTGGACCGTTGTTTTGGCGTGCTGTTCCTGCGTCTGACCTGTCCAATTTCGGCGGTTCGGGGATACCGAGACGGGACAGCTCCTCATCGATGTTTGCTCCTTTTGAGAATTCCATTCTCAATGGAAAGCGTATGATGCGACAAGAACTCTCGGTCCTCGGGTCTCTCTAGGTTACAATAGCTCTTCTTTCTCTCCGGGCAAAGAATGATGGGTCTTTCCGATGACCCTAAGGCGATGAGAAGCGAAACAGCGCTGTAGATCATGCGCAGGTTTGACTGAGGTATCATTGAGTAGGGCAGACCAAGTGTATTTGCAGGACTCTGCAGCCTCACATACCATTCGCCCCGAGCGACAATGCATTTTAATCATTTATTGGATCACTGGCGTATTTTACATCGGGTACAAGTAAAGAAGGCATTGTGCAGCTGAGACATCGTGATGGACTGGGGTGGGCTGAAGAGCACCGCCTTCTTTATTACTGCAGTTTTCTGCCCTGCTGTGTTACCTGCTCCGCTCTCTCAGCCTACTGTGTGTTCCATTCGAAGTATCCAATGATTTAACCTGACGCTACACCATACTTCCTGATGTCACCGAAGTTGGTACGCAATAAGCACTGCTCCCAGCGTAGAATGCCTAGTAGGCACCCACGGCACTCAATAGAAATCCTATGCAGGCTTGCGCTGAGCGCCAAAATGGTTCGCCCGGGCTGCAAATGGACTCTGATGCCTCTTCCTTCAGCCCACATGCTGCTCCCAGCTGTTGACTCGGATCACACCATCACATCTTCTGGAGAATGACTAAGGTCTCACCCCCGAATTTCTTTGGCAAGAGCAGGCTACGGTAGTTAAATATTAAAATCAGCGAATAATCACATGCGTAGCACAGCCCCATGCGGGCAACATTCCCGATGCAACCTGTAACTATTTTAGTCGCATAAGCATTCCTAGTCGCCTTTCGTGGCTGTTTTTCCATTTTATGAGTACGCTGATTCCTGAGGGACAGTGGGCTCTCGCGGCTTGAGTCTGAACCGCCCCCATTTCACACTTCCGATGATTTAAAAACAAACACCGCTCGATGAGGACGGAATTGAACGAGCCTTGAAATCAACGTCGACCTTACCAGCACACCGCTCAGTGGCACGATGTCACAATCCGAATCCATGAAGGATCCAGCATCAGCTTCATATTACTCCGATGGGGGGGAAAGCGTGGAATTTCAGATTCATTCGAATCTCACGAGTTCTGCTCAACTGCTTGGAGCTCTGGAGAGACGATTGCCCAGAGGCACTTACACCGTAGAGATGCGGCATAATATCTATACGGTACGGATCGATAGCGCAAGAGCTCCGTCCGCATGGTCAAGGTCAAAGACAAGTCCACACCGCTTGTAAGATTCAATCTGGTACGTGAAGCCAGCACCTATTGTCACAGATTGTATGAAGATAGAGGCTCATTCCTCGTGTCAGTATGAGTATTTCATAAGTTTCCTGCGATAAAACAGAGAAGACTATGTGAGTTGGAAACTCGCAACCAATGCGACGACAGCTAGATTATAATGGCGGGTCATGTCAACATGGAGATAGCAGAACTCTAAGAGACGGTGTTTCAGCGGGTAGCAATCGAAGCATTCCGTTGTTTGCACACACAATCATACGCTCCATCAGAATCAGTTAATTCAGCTAGCAAGGCTGACAGAGTTTCCGTCCTATTTCCCGGAAAGCGCATCTTGTCTGGCCGGTATTGGTGTATCAATGAAGCATGTTGAAAGTATCAGTGAAGCAAAGAGTATAGAATAGCATGGCATTCAAGATGCACCAAGCACTGCTAGAAAAGACCCCTGAGCTCGGGTATTTGCTAGATAGGAATAACAAGCTCTCACGGGGACCTACGCCTGATGAAAGAAACCATCATACAAAGCCATGATTCCCAACTATTGCACGTCTACTGTCAGCTGTGGCTCACGAATTATGTGTCCACCCAGCAGTCTTCCCACGCCAACGCGTTCGTATCGACCGCCTCTCTCATCAGAAAGCCTCGTTATGACAAGAACGTAATGCTCTGGTTCACGAGATACCATCTCTGTCTTTTCCTTTCCAATCACTATGCACCATAATCTATCCGCACTGTGATCCATTGACTCGTCGAACCTGACTCTCTTGCGAAGTTCGATCGCATCCAGGCTGAAGCGGCTCGCGGATCCACGGAGTAGGGGAATCTCACTTCCATCAGCGACTTCCCAATGAGTCTTCTTCCCGCTATTTGTATTGAAGGGTGTGGCGATGTCACCGGTCCAGTTAATGTGCTCGAACGGAGCTTCAAGATAAGCTATTGGGCCCCGATATGCCATCCAAGACCAGGAAGGGACTCGCCTATCTGGAGGATACAGGATCCTGTCCAGTGACGTACCGGGAGCTTTCTGCCAGAGAAGGCTTCTTTGCAAGTATGCTTCAAATATTCCAAATCCTCCTTTCGTTTCGAAATTTTTGACTAGTCTCTCTTCAAGACCCTTGATGCCAATGGATCGATCGCTTGGCACTGTGAATGCGAGTCGCGAGTACATTTGGTATAGAGTTTGGAAAGTTCTTATCCGGCCTCCCTTGAACAACTCCAAGGCCGATTCAGGGAAGTTCGAGTCCCCAAGGAGGGCCGCTTGGCGACTTATAGGTCTAGAGTTAGCGACCGGGGAAAGTTTCGAACCAAGAATCGGAGCTTACTTTGCAAGTCTCATCAAACTCTCGCAATGAACGCCTTTGCCACATTCCCAGTATACTTGAGTTGCTGTAAAATGCAATGTTCGACGCGACAGTGCTCGTTCTTGCAACACCCAGCCGCGCTGGTTCAACACAGCTTGCTCGACATCGTGGTGGAAGTCGTCGATCACCTTGCGCACGAAGGTGAAGCCGCCGTCTGATCCTGCCAGGGTTACAAATGAATGTTTTGACTTTTGACGCAAAAATCCCTCAGCTGATGAGGATGCCGCAGTGGCCGCTATAGTGCAGTAAGCAGAACTGAAGACATGTTCCATGCGGGTGGCCTCAAACGCCCAGTCTTGTTTGTCGTTCTGAATGATGCAGAGCGAGTCAATCCAGAGGTACTGTACGCCTAAAGCCCTTGAAACTGTTACAGCGTCTTGAAAACTCTTGGGGAGAATGCCAAAGTCAATGTGCATACGGAACACATCGATATTCTCCTTCAGGGTGCGAACTTGAGCTTGGGAGTTCACTCCCCAGCAATGGCTGAGGGCAATGTAGCGTTCATGAGGAAGAGACTTCCCATCGCAGAGACGAATGGTAGAGTCTGTATTTGTACCAACATCAAGGACACGAGTGGGTAACTCCGTAAGGTTATCGATGCCATGGTTGTGTTGCTCGTTACACACACGTAGCCACTCGTTAAGCAGAGCGAACTGCTGAGGAGAACTGGTTACCGGCAGATTAGGATAGCCTCTCTGTGCATGCGGAGGTGCCGGTCTATCGCCTATTTTTATTGTTTTCACTTAGCAGACAACTTTGCTAAATAACGAGGACGAAGCTGCATCCGCTGCTTACCTGGGGCGACATAGAGAGTCAAGACGACGGGGCCATCCGGTTCCATCTTCAGTGACGAGCCTTTTCTTCGACATTTAAATTGATCGTCATCGTTCATCTCATGTGACTCGACACTCTGAACTAAGAGAGCGCATAACTCGCAAGTCTGAGATCTAGATCTGAGGTCTCCAAGTCGCTCACTAATGAGAAACATGGGAGTCCAAATATCGTAGCTTGTGCAAGTCCTGCAAAGAATGGACCGTTGCAGGGCTATTGGGGGCGATGAGGATTTACGATAGAACTCGTTGGCAAAATTACTATCACTCTTCAACTCCCATACATCTCGAAGTTTGGCGAGTTGCTAGCAGTCGTTAGCTAAACCAGGATAAATATACTAGGCGCCATGGTCGAGGCTTACAGGCTACGTATTGTCAGCATCAATTTAAGCTACGGAAGCATGAGCCCACTCACCATCTGTCAGGAGTGAGTAAGTTTAATCGGTAAGCTGTATCTCACTAGCGAGGAATCGGGACAGGTTGTATGCATCAGTGAGACCTTACGTTCTGTTGCAGTTGGGGTTAGTACAGAAGAGAGAGAGAGAATCGCACGTCTACTACGTGCAGGAAACCATCCATATTGCATGCATTTGGCACTCACATACTGTGCGAGGAACATCCCGTCAGCATCAGTCTCTCTTTCGGATCATTAATCGTGGTAAATAAAGATATTACTTACTTCTTGAGCATTTGGAGTTGGGACTTGCACCATAATGCCGCCTGTTTCGGCACTGGGTTCAACGATCATGGGAGTTTCCGTCATGAGAGAGTGTGGTGTGCGCTCAGGATGTTCGGACTCTATACCACGACTTGGGGTTGCCCGACTTGGGGCAGGTCGTTGGCGAGGAACTTCTAGGGTAGAGCTTTTGTTCTCGGCGGGTACGGCATTTGTGCATATGCGATCCCATAGAGAAGAGTCCATGAGATACTCTTCTCGTACTTGAGCTTGCTGAAAGATAGTGCTCAACCTTTTGTACAGTTCTGTGGAACTTGTCCGACCTTCCAGTTCGGGTACTAGCATATTCAAGTCAATCAGTTTCAGTACGTCTTTGAGAGCCGAATTGGAGGCGATGTCAGCTCGCTTGAGGTCTTTGGACATGTTAAAAATCCATCTCTTAACCTCTCGGTGCTGATGGTAGCCGTCCACGTCCTTGCTCCAGAACTTTTCTTCGATGCTGGCCCTGTTGAAGGCTCTCAATTTGCTGTTGCCGTAGAGAACCCAGATCAGGAATTCAAGAAAGACACAGCCCAGTGACCACACATCGTAGAGTCGCGAGATTTGTTTAGTATGACCAAATTCTGGAGGCTCATAGCGAACGGTGCCCGTCATAGTATTCGATACCTGTTTCCGATCGCGTGTAGCCTCAATGTGAAATCTGGCAAGCCCGACGTCAGCAACCCTGAGAATGCCCCTTTCGTCACTCTCGAGGAAGTGAAGGATGTTCTCGGGCTTCAGATCTCCATGTCGACAATTCCTTTCGTGCAAGGAACTGATGGACCCGCAGATCCCCTGCAATTGCCGAAGAACCCAAAGTACATGTTTAGGATCCTTGACAGGCACATGTGGCATTCTTTCTTGATTGCCCCAAAGTTCCTTGAGATTGCCGCCCTCTCCCCATGGGAAGAGAAAACCTCTGAGATCGCCTCTTCGATAGGCAGCCAAAGGCTTGATGAGATGCGGACTGTCAATGTTGCGTATGGTTTCCAAAATTTCTGCTTCTTTCTCATAATACGAATCCATCCCAATTCTCATCTCCTTGGAGGCGACACGAATCTTCTTGCCTTCGACCTGGATCAATAGTAAGTGACAGATATGGGAACCAGAATTCAAAAAGGTACTTACTACTGGCAGTACCTTTTGATGTGCATCATGTACCACCACTTCGAAAACCGTGCTGAAGAATCCCGTCTTCTGATGGTTGATTTTCTGGACTATGGGAAGGGGGCAGTCAGAATGAAGCTTGTGGAGAAATGAATCTCCCGTGAAGATAGGCGCAAGGAACAGCCATTGATGGTGAGAGAAATTGCTGAGAGGTTGCTTTTTTGTGCTTGAAAACTCGGGCCAGATCCTGCCGCTCTTAATGCTGCGGATGTCATAGCATGCAGTGCCGGTGGGATCGCTAGGATTAGTCAAGACTTCCACTGGCAAGTCGTTGTCACGAAACCTCTCTGGAGCGTCCGCGAGAGCCTGGAGTCGCTTGAGATCATCGCAAACCACCAGGGTGAGGAAAACTCGCTTGGCAGGCTGCTTTGGATTCATCACGTAGTCGGTGAGGGATTCCGATCGCTCAGCTCCGACAATTGCTTTGAGCTGTCTCTCAACGATATACCTAGAGGTCAAACTTTCGATGGCGTCAGCCGGAACAAATTCCTTGTCGTCTGCAGTCCTGCAGACTCTGGCATGTACTTTGTCGTCGAGGTTTCTGTTGTCAGGAGAAGAAGTGAGAGATGAGCCTGATCCGCCCGAATGAGCTTGATAGGTCTTCGTCGAACCAGGCTCATCGGTCTTCGAGGAGTAGTTTCCTGACCCGGGAGATCCTTCTACGATTTCGGTCAGCCTAGTAAGTGATGATGTTTGCAGGGCGGGGCATAGATCATTGCAGCCATTGAGACTAGACTAGCAACTGCGAAGACGAATTCGGGGAACCGCAGCGCGATGGCACTCACTCGTAATCGACGAGCTTTCTAGGCTTCGTTCGTCAATCTCGTGTGGAGACGTCATTTCGCTTGCCTGAAGCTCCCGACAGTTGCCCTTTTGACGCAATTTGACCTGATCGTTCTATGAGGAGCTGGCCGTCAGCTTAAGTTGCAAAGTTTACTCGATAACTCCAGATGAGCATTGATATTGACGAACCGGTGGAGCGATCAAGTACAGTACTATCAACAGAATTATGGTACAGGAAAGAGGCCTTGCAAAGTCTTCGGCAATGTCGAATATTCTGGGTACAGACATGGCTCGAGCTGACATCCATCGATGCGAAAATTGCAGTGCGGACAGCGCGAGCTCTTGATGACTTCCACAGACCTCGAGGTGTAGGACAGCAAGAGTGACTTATGCGCAGTCCTTCGAAGTGGTCAGTAGGACAACCATCCGGCTGTGATGAGACATGCTCGACATGCAGGAGCTGAACAGGGTGGCTGTTCCTAGCGGGAGCCGGCGTAGCGGCTGAAGCACCATTATTGATCAGTAAGGCTCGGTGAAGGCGTTCTGGCACGAGTAGTCTGATCCCATTCTTTCGAGACCCGATATCTGTGACTTGTGATCATTCTCGAGGCAGGCTGCTGGTTGATCGGCTCGGTTGCAAGCAGGTGGTCTCACTCATATCTTGGGGGGAACAGATTTGAGAATCCGGTTGGACAGCCTGATATGAACATCCTTAGGTGTCATACAGGCAATACCTATATTCCGCAGTCCTGTGGAACACTCACTCATGTAAGACTTTGTTCAGCCTGCTTCTCTAGCATTACCGTTCTGGTGAACTCCGGCACCTTGAGCTCCGAAATCATATTAGTACATGCAAGTAGGTGGCTGAGTTCCATACGTTGGGGGAAACGGACAGGTACATTGCGCACCTCCCTCGGTGACGATTGGGTAGAGTGTCGTTTCCAACACACTCGTTGTGGCCGATGATAAGGGAGAGTTGATGCCGGTTGCCGGACCCGGCCGATGTCAACTTCCCGACCCCAGAACCGCCCCGAACGAAGTCGGTTGCCTACTCGGGCGGCGGGCCTGTGCAGTACGTCTAAGTGCGCTCTTAAAACCACTCGGTCTGAATGTTCAAGGCAGGTGCATCGACATCAGAGATACGTCCAAATGACTGCGAATTATTAGTATCATTACCAGATAGGGCTACGGCGGTCTGCATAACCTTGAAAATGATCTTCACATCCTGTTCAGCATGCACTTCTGGCGGATGCGTCTCATTGACGACTCTAGCTGGCACCTGTCATCCGTTGATTGCGGGGTATGAATCTTATTGAACCGACGAACACCACTACCTACACGTTCCAGCCCGTGACGTCGGCCACTTCACATCCACGAATGGGCGAAATGGGGCTGGGTTGTTTCCCCTCGCGACCTACCCAAAGGGGGGCGAGGATTCCCGAAGCTGTAAGACATGAACTCTCCTATCGGCATGGCACAGTAGTAGAAGCGATAAGAAGGTCTCACGTCATTTCACAGCAAGATCGCCTACCCCTCCCTCCCTTTCCCGCCAGCTGCATCTTCACACCTACGCAATCAAATTGCCAGGCCACAATCCATCTCGTCTGGGGGCTACATCAATCGATTTGCGGTTGAAAGGCTGTCATAATTGCTCTTCGACCTAAGCTGCAACCCTGACCTCTTTGGTGGTCTTCCTCCGCGAAGATGGATCCCGCGAAGCTTACTGGCCAGGCACTCCTCAGCCACACTATTCAGACAACGCCCATCATCGACAACCATGCCCATCCGCTCCTTGATCTCGATGCAATTGGCCGTTATCCTCTTCTTTCAATTACAACCGAGGCTCACGGCGATGCAATCCACGCCTCATTGACGAGCTTGGCCCACCTACGTGCCGTCAAACAGCTCTCCAAGATCCTTCGATGCGAGCCGAGCTGGGAAGCCGTTGTGAACGCCATTGAGGCGAAACGCATCGAGGACTACGATGCATGGGTAGCGGAATGTCTCAATGGGATTGAATCGGTTCTGGTTGACGATGGTTTAGATGGCGAAAATGCGGTCTACCCTTACACCTACTTCAGCGACCTCACCCGCAGCCCCGCGAAGAGGATTGTGCGCATCGAGAAGATTGCGGCAGACATCATCAATGACCATCTCCCTACAAATGAGAATGCCCCAAGAACTTCCAAAGACGCCGGGTCCGTCTTTGAAAAGGCATTGAAGGCATTTGACCACAGCATCGCGGAGGCTATAGCCGATCCAGAAGTCGTCGGCTTCAAGTCTGTGATTTGCTACCGCACTGGTCTGGGCATTCCCAGGAGACCGGACGCTGCCGCGGCTCGCAAGGTCTTCGAGGAGATCCATGAGAAACATACGAGAGGCACCGACAAGGCCTTTAATCGTGTCAATCACCGTGGGCTGAATGAGTACCTGGTGCACAGATTGGCTTGTCTCATCAGGAATTCTTCAGGCTCTGGCAAGAAGCCGATTCAATTTCACACCGGCCTGGGCGACAATGACATCACCCTCACTTCTGCATCTCCGTCACATCTGCAAGAGTTCATTCGCCAATACCCTACTGTGCCCATAGTGCTTCTGCACGCCAGCTACCCCTTCATGAGAGAAGCCGGGTACCTGGCTAGTGTCTACGCCAACGTTTACACTGATATTGGCGAGATTTTTCCCTTCTTGAGTCGTGACGGCCAGGAAACCGCTGTGCGCCAGGTCCTAGAATTGTGCCCCTGGTCCAAGATACTATGGAGCACTGACGGGCATTGGTTCCCGGAGACATACCTTCTCGCCGTCCTTCAAGTGAGGGAGGTATTAGAAAAGGTTAGCGATATCATGTGCTGCTTTTTCTTCCGCCAAGGCTAACAATATCCAGGTTCTGTCCGAATATGCCCGCAAAGGGCACATGACTTGGCGGGAAGCAACTCAGCTAGTCAAAGACATTCTCTTCAACAACGCCAATCGTGTGTACCACCTGGAATTAGAGTTCAGCTTCGATGAAACCATTGCGAACCCAAGGAGGCTGTCAGGAAGAAGCGATCTCGATATCCTAGAAGCTTTTCTGGATGGAAAGAAGCCCCCTCAGTACCTCCGCATCTACTGGAACGACCTGACAGCGACACCACGAGTTCGTGCGATACCAATGCGCAAGGTTCTGTCTGTGATGAACGAAGATGGGGACTTCTCCATCAGTATCACCAAAGCAAGTCTTGGGCTCTTGCAGAACGATCACGTGGTCCCAGGGGCATCCGGCACAGGAGAGTACCGTCTGCATCCCGACTTCACTTCACTCCAGGAGGGTCCCAGGAAGGGTCATATCAGCGTCTTTGGCGATTTCAGGGAGTACGATGGATCTGCTGTTCCCTTCTGCCCGCGATCTTTGCTGCAAAGGGTGATCGAAATCGCTGCTCGACATGGATTGACCTTCAGCCTCGGGTTCGAAATTGAGCTAGTTCTTCTCGAGCGCGTCGATAGCTCCTTCGAGAAGTATAAAACTCTGAGCAACGACGGACACGCATGGTCTACCTCACGCATGATGGACCACCCTGCCTTTTCTAAAGTCATCGAGAAAGCTGTTGCTGAGCTAGACGCAAACGGCATCTACATTGAACAAGTGCACCCTGAGAGTGCGGCTGGCCAGTTCGAAGTGGTTCTTCCACAGGCCCCTCCCCTCGAAGCAGTCGACACGTTGCTTTACGCCCGTGAGGTTATCTCAGGTATTGCCGCTGCCGAAGGTTACAGAATGACTCTTCACCCTAAGCCGTACCCAACAGCCTGCGGCACCGCGGCCCATGTCCATATGTCAATTTCTTCCGCTGGAGGGTCTAAGCCGGAGACGTACAGCCCCTTTTACGCTGGTATCTTGAGGCACCTTCGCGCTATCACGGCCTTCACATATAGCAATCCGGTCAGCTACGAGAGAGTCCAAGACGGTTGCTGGGCCGGCGGTCGCTGGGTAACATGGGGTACTCAGAACAGAGAGACACCGCTGCGCAAGATCGAGAGCAGCCACTGGGAGGTCAAATGCATGGACGGCATCGCGAACCCGTACCTCGCACTCGCTGCGCTCCTGGGAGCGGGTACACATGGCGTCATCGAAAGCGAAAAGATGACCTGGGGTGATTGCGAGGTTGACCCTGCGTCTTTGACGCCGAACGACCGAAAGGAGCTGGGCGTCGAGCAGATGCTTCCTTCAGGTCTGCCCGAGGCGCTCCAAGCTCTCCGCGCGGACGATGTAATGAATGAGTTGCTTGGTGAGGACTTGGTGGAGAGGTACATCACAGTCAAGGAGGAGGAGATGAAGAACCTGGAGGCAATCAGCAGTGATGACCGCCGACAATGGATCTTGGAGCGATACTAGGACAATATCTCGACTAAAAACAGAACCAAAGGCCAAAAATATCTTGAGTAGCTGCCTGCACACTATGAACTAAACAAAAGTTATAATACTACATACAGTACCCTTACTTGCTCTCCTTGATAATCGTCTGCAAAGCCTTGACATACTCATCAACTTCCTTGGCCCCGATGAGAGTGATATCTCTCCGACGGCCCTCGAACATGATATACGGCACAGAATCAACACCATCCATGGCTGCTATCCGAATCATGTTTCTAGCTTCCATCTTCCCCTCACTCTCATCACCCACAACTGCCCTCGCCTCCGTCTCCGGGATACCGACTTCGACGCAGGCCTCAACCAGCACATCCTTCGAGTTTTGGTCCTGCTCGCATTCAAAGTAGCGACTATACAGCGCATCGACTAGTTCATTCGCAGTCTCTGCACCCTTGGCTTCCTGAAAATGCTGGATGACCCGATGCGATGGAAACGTGTTGGACATGGTGCCGCCGAAGGAGAAGTTGATGCCGGCTGCGGATCCGAGGGCCCCCATTGTCGCTTCGAAAACTCCTTGCTTCTGATCGGATGCGTCGTGCTTGGCTGTCGTGTACCAGTGTCGCTTATCCTGCGGCTCTGATGGGAAGTCTGGGTAGAGCTGGTACGGACGGAAGACCAAGGTGAAAGAAACATCTTTGCCATTGGGGCTAGCCGCGATTTGTTTAAGAGCCTCTGCCAATCTACCTTCTGTCAGATTGGTATGGTTTTGCGTTCATGATTGCGCGCCTCATACCTCTTTTTAGCGATATAGGTCCTTCCCTCGAGGAGTTAATTTCCAATCATTGTCAAATATCAAAGTCAAATGTGACGGAATCTAAAAGACTCACCAAGGACAGACCGTATCCAAGGTAAATGTAATCTGGGACTGATACATTTTCCGAAAATGGTATTACGGAACCGTCTACTGTGGAAGGTATTGTCCAGCCTTTCTACATGCGTGGCATATCTGTCTTCTGATACTTGAAGCCTGCATGCAAATGCCGGAATGACGACACTGGGGTGCTTGCAAATCAGCTGGTGACGACCCCGCACCTGCGACCTTGGGTCGCGTTCACGTGGCCGGGAGATCGACCCAAGTGACTTGACGAATTGCATATAGGCTGGCATTGAACTTCAATTCTCTGGGACTGACTTGATCCCCGTTTTTCAATTTCCTCTTTTTATTTTCTACTTCTTTTCTTTTCGTACGATCCCGCTTCATTCGCTCTATGGACGAACTCGGCCTCCTCAATGGCGCCTCCTCATGTGCCCCGAGCTTCATTTCCTGACTGCTCAAAAGACCGGCATAAACAGCTCCACTCATGTGCCCAGTGCAGGTAGAAAGTCGATATACCGAGTAGCAAGCCATGATCACTTCCCGAATATCTATGGGATCATCGACAAGCCTGAATTGAGGGCGATGATGAGTTGGGGTGATGAGGACAAGAAAGCCGATTGTGGAAGCCAACGAAACGCGGTCTCCGTCTAACCGCGCTGTGTAGGATGCTAACTGGGTTGACCGGGGAGGAAACTCGAGCAGAGATATCGCCCCGCCTTTTGACTATTCGGGAGCTAGAATGGGGCATGATAGATGGGTGAACTGGGAAGTAAACTCGTAACGAGCGCTAAGTAATAGTGGGAAGCCCACTTAGACTTCCGTTGACAAAATCTTTTCTCGGAATCATTAGTGACTCAAGATAAGTATTATTGAGCATTTAAGGCTTGGCTGAGGGTATAAATACTAGCGAAGGCTCTGAACACGTGCTGCTACTTCAAAGTAGTTTTTGCCGGAATCAAGATTAACTTACACGCAGCTTTGCGGTCAAGGGTTGGACGTTGGAAAGCTACTCCGTACAAGCTTCATCATAGTACGTTGTCATCGGCAGTTTTGAGCGCCTCACTAACACAACCCACAGAGAGAACTCTTCTTGAGTGGAATCATCAGTTGTAATCTTCCTCCAACTGGATTCGGAATTGCAAATTTTTGCGCAATTGTAATGTCTAATGCAGGGATATTCTTTCACAATGGTAGAGTCCTCGCGAAAGCTGGAATCGGACTCAACGCCGAGGCAATATTCGTCGACAGTCTCTTGGTGATAGAGAAGAGAATCGCAGCCATTGGAACTCGGAAAGAAATAGAACCAGCAGACTTGACAGGGATCCAAGTTCACGATTTGCGGCAGCGAACAGTCCTTCCAGGCTTCATTGACGGCCACATGCACCTCCTCCTGCTAGGACAATCTCTTCGGAAAGTCGACTTGTCGAACTGCAAGACGCTGCATGACATCCGATCAAGCATCAAATCGTACGCACAGGCAAACCCTAGTCTTCCAACAATTCTCTGCAAAGGATGGAGGCATTCAATGACTCCGAACGGGGTCTCGGCAGCTTTACTCGACGACATTGATCCACGCCCTATATTTGTCGATGCGAGTTCGCTACACTCATCTTGGTGTAACACCGCAGCTTTGAAAGAACTCGAGGTCGCCGAAATGCCGGATCCAGCAGGCGGACGCATTCATCGCGATGAACACGGGAACCCCTCTGGTGTTCTTGACGAAGGGGCAATGATGTCCATCATCTGGCCGTACCAGGCCTCATCATCCCCCAAAGAAGAGCGCATCAAAGCCATTGTCGCTGCAGTAAAGGAGTATAATGCAGCAGGATACACGGGTGTGGTAGAGATGGCAATGGACGAGGAGGCCTGGGACGCAATCATCACCCTTCGAGATACCCAGCCCGATCTCCCGATCCGTGTGGCTGCGTACTGGCTGATCAAGCCAACAACAGATCATGAGGCCAACTCCCGTCAAGTTCGTCGCGCTCTCGAGCTAAGCCGGGCTTACAACTCCACTAATAGCCCGGACTTCCGGATTGTCGGCATCAAGGTGATTTGCGATGGTATTATCGACGCCTGCACGGCATTTCTCTCGGAACCGTACGCACCCGCGGGGAAGCCCCCGCCGATTTGGGCACCAGAGTACCTGGATCCCGTCGTCAAGGAAGCAAATGACGGCGGTCTCCAAGTCGCACTACATGCCATCGGAGATGCCGCGATTAGAATGGCAATCGATGCCATCGAGAAACACACCGCCGCTGGCCGCCGCCATCGCATCGAACATCTAGAACTTGCGTCACCAGAAGACGCAGCTCGTCTAGGTAGATTGGGTCTCACAGCCTCTATCCAACCAGTTCATTCAGACCCAGCCGTTCTCATAGAATGGCCCCGCTTGATTGGAGAAGACCGCTGTCATCGTGCATTTGCCTACCGCGAATTCGCCGACTCAGGTGCTTTGATGGCTATTGGCAGCGATAGTCCAACTTCGCCGTGGGCACCGATGGAGAATCTGTACGTTGCGGCTACGAGGCGATCTGCAAGGGATCTGACTTTCACTGGGACTTTCAACGAGCACTTCCGACTTGGACTCTGTGAGTCTGTGACAGCCGCTACTTGGGGCGCTGCTAGCAGTGTGTTTGACGATGAGCGTACGGGTAGTCTTGCAGCTGGAAAGTGCGCTGATTTCATTGTGGTTGATATGAAGTGGGACGAGAAGAGCATATTGCAAGCTCGAGTGGAAGAGACTTGGTTCGGCGGCCGGAAAGTCTGGGATGTCCGGGACTCAACGTCGGATTAGATTGTCTCAATTCAGTTGAGTACACCTTTCGGGCTTTGGTTGGCCTCGAAGACGACTACAAACAAAGCATCAGTCACCCGAAGAAAGATGTAGAAAGGCATCCAAACACCAGAGCCCTTCTAAATGGCTTGCACAATGCCGATCTATGAATATGAAATGTATGTGCACACCTTACTTTGATGACCCCCACAAGTCGGCAAACGGATCCCAGCTTGGATCCTCAACAGGCGTATACTCCATTCTGTTGGCGATATTCTTCGCAACATCCTTCCCATACACGGCCCCGATCCATGCAAACGCCAAATCGATGCCAGCACTGATACCTGAAGACGTCCAGACATTCCCGTCCTGCACCCACCGCGCCTTGTGAACCCAGTCGACCTGCGGCCGCAGTGCAACCGTCTGGTCCCACGAGAGCTTGTTCGTCGTCGCTCTCCTACCATCCAGCACGCCCGCTCGGGCAGCAACCCCGGCACCGGTGCAGACGGTCAGTAGATACTGCAGCGAGTCGAAGCGCTCCTTGACAAAGTCGATTGCGGTGCTGATGCCCGGGTTCCGGGTCCCTTGCCCGCCGGGGACGATGAGCACGTCAAGGGGCGGAGCGGTCTGGAATGTGTGTGTTGGGACGATGCTCTCGCAGAAGTTTGAGATGTGGTTAGGGTCCTTGACCCTTGTTGGCACGGGGTCCAATGTATCTGCAATGATGTAGAGGTTCATTTTGTATGACCCAGATAGCATGTTGAGAGCGTCCAGGGGCCCGAAGACGTCGAGAGACTGGAAGGCCGGGAAGAGTACCAGGCCAAAGTTGACCGGTTTGCCTATATCAAGTTAGAATGAGCAGCACTTAGTGAATCACAGCGTATGGACTCTGTAGGATTATAGTCCGCTCGCGCTGGCGACTCACCATCAGTGGCACGCTCGTCGTTCTGAGCCATTGGAAGGCTCTGGCTAAGACTTTTGACGCAAGAACAAAGTGTTGTTGATGGCTATAGAGGGTTCCCTGGAGATCACTGAAAGGCAAGATTGCGACTTCTAGCGAACATGCTTGTTCAGTGTTGCGAATCGTTCACCAAACCACCAAAACGCCGAGGGGCAGCGCTGGGACCCCGCGATTCAGTCACTGCTCATTTATCTCGAGCTACGCAGGCGGAAGACCGATGACCGGGCTCGGAGATCGGTGAGATTGTTTACGTAAGATCTCACTGTCCAGGTAGAGATTATGCGGGGATCATTACCAAAGTGACTGGGACAAGTCCCCCTCTGAATCGCGTCATCTTCCATGCAACCCCCACGATAGTTGCAATTTCTTCCGAGGCATTAGAAGGATGTGATGATGTTTCAAATGTCTAGAGCTTATTGCCCATATTCACATGAACCGCCTTGATCTGGCTGTACGCCTCAAGTCCAGCTTCACCAAGCTCCCGCCCGATACCGCTCTGCTTCACGCCGCCAAAGGGGACCCTAGGATCACAGTCCTGTGTGCTATTAATCCAAACCATGCCCGCTTCGATTTCAGCAGCCACACGATGCGCCTTTTCCAAGTTCGTCGTGAAGACTGCAGCGCCGAGGCCATAAACGCTGTCATTGGCAATCTCCACCGCCTCGGCCTCGTCGCCAAACTTTTGAATCACGACGACGGGGCCGAAGATTTCCTCACGCCAGATCTTCATGTCGCTCTTCACATCCGTAAAGACGGTAGGCGCGACGTAGTACCCCTTGGCGCCCAGATGTGCCGGCCTTTCGCCGCCCGTCTTGATTGTCGCGCCCTCGTCGCGACCGATCTGGAAGTAGGCCATGATGCGGTCGTATTGTTGCTTCGAGACTTGCGGACCCTGGTAAGTCTCGGCATCCCACTGGCTACCAACTTTACTGGTCTTGTGGACCTCGTCAATGAATTTCGCAACAAAGTTATCGTAAATGTCCTGCTGTACCAAAATCCGCGACGTGGCTGTGCAGATTTGCCCTTGGTTGGACATGATGCCCATATGCGACCACCGAACTGCCTGCTCGAGATCCGCGTCGTTAAAAACCAACAAAGGGGATTTGCCGCCCGTCTCAAGGGTAATGTTCTTTAGTGTAGCCGAAGCCATCTTCATAATGTTGGTTGCGGTCGCCGTTGATCCCGTGAACGCGACTTTGTCGACCAGTGGGTGGGAGACGAGGGCTGCGCCGGCGTCTTTACCCAGGCCATTGATGAAGTTCACAACGCCGGGTGGGAAGCCGGCCTCCTTGGTGAGACGGCCAAAGACGAGGATGCTAAGTGGTGTCTGTTCAGCGGCCTTGAGAACAACAGTATTGCCGCAGGCCAGCGCAGGGCCTAGCTTCCATCTGTGTTGCGGTTGACAAGTCAGCAGAGTGCACTCGAGTCTCTTATGGCAGGGCACTGTCTTACGTTGCCATTGAGATTGGGTAGTTCCATGGAATGATTTGACCTACAACCCCGACGGGTTGGCGGACGGTGTAGGCGAACTTGTTTGGCAGGCTGATGGTCTGGCCAAAGATCTTATCGCACCAGCCGCTGTAGTAGCGGATGACTCCGACAGCCTCCACCATGTCGTTCGTCAATGCCTCTTGATATGTCTTGCCTGTATGTGTAGGTTATCAGAATTGTGACCAAGTGGCTGTTGTCTTGAAGCCAGGTAGAATGCTTGAGGATTTCTTACCGTTATCCCAAGCGTCGATGGTTGCGAGCAATTCCTTATTCGACTCCATGAGGTCCGCAAGACGGGCCATGAGGATGCCTCTGTCTGAAGCGGACAGCTCTTTCCATGAGGGGTTCTTCAGTGCCGCAGCGGCGGCCTTGACGGCTTTGTCGACATCTTCTTCAGTGGCTGCGTGAACTCGTGCGATTTCTTCTTCGGTTCTAAATACCAGTTGAAGGTGAGCAAGTCATTCCACTCAGAGGAAAGTGAGCAATCGGAAGTTTATTACTTACGCTGGATCAATCGCAGGAATAGTCTGTCCGGTGGATGAGGGAACGAATTCGTTGTTGATGAAGAGGCCGGTTGGCTGAGTCCACTTCTGGCCGTTAGGCGCAGTCAACTCAATGGAAAGATCTCCCATTCTGTCGGTGAAATGTGAAATGAGACTGAACTGATTTCTCTCGGGAGTTCAGTGAGCCTGATGATGAGTGACAGCTTTTCAGGATCAGGTACTTGAAGCTGATGAGTCTTCAACGATCAAAAAGACGATTGAAGAATCAATAGAGTAAGTCGCCAAGTTTCATGAGATACGTTATCACGCTGAACCGTCATCTGATAAACGCCTGCGAGTTCGGCCTCAACCAGTGATCAGCTTCATTCCGCCCGTGACGCTGTATCTGTTCAGTATCGGCGTGGCCTGCCAGGCGGGGTCCAAGCTACCCCTCCCCCGCGGTGGGGGAAAGATGGAATAAGACAGCGTTTCCGTCAGTCAGTCAGTCATCGGCTGGCCTCCCGGATGAGCCTCCGAGACTTTCGTCTTCTCTGGATCACGAAGCGACTGAGATCCTCTTACCGATTCGGCATGTTCGACCCTTTTCGATCTCACTTGGAATTAGTCATGGTAGAGTGGTGTAGTTAAGAGTGATCGGGGAGACCTTCCTCATAGAATCTGCGTCTCATAATGAGGGGGCCGCAGTGACTTTTGGGAGAGGAAATGGAGAATGAGGGGCTGAATCTCCACTAATACCTTGCGATTCAGAGAGCTTGTTCAATTGTTTAGGCACTCATCCATCAGTTCGAAGCTAAATCGGCCCTCTATCTATCTCTCACCAGAGCATTGAGATAAGAAGTCCGGCTTAACGGAAGGGATCGAAGGGCAACGGTAGAACGCCCTTTTGAGGCCGGTGGAGCGTAAAGTTATCTATGACGTTCACTTGACGATTCAGTTTTGAGACTCTGTAAGATTGAAAACTCATTTCATTCATGATTTATGTTTCGCGAGTTATGGCCGCTCATCAAGTGCTCATAGCTTAAGCTCACTGTGCTGAACCTCGGGGGCTTCCCAAGACACAGCCTTGGGGATCTCTTCCGCCAAACTCTCGCCTGCTGGTGCCCATCCCAGTACCTTCTTGCCCCTAAGTGCCTCGCTGCGCGCATTGGTTCCAAAGAGCACCGTTCCGTGAGGCAGCACCTTGTTTGCTTCTTCGGGGCCAACTTCCTCCACCTCATCCTTGGAAATGAGACCCTTCTTCGCAGCGGCGGACGCAACCAATTTTGAGATATCGCCAAACGGCTGTGAATCGAACCAATTAGCTGATGCAGAGGAAGGGGGACGAGGGACCTAAAGTCATCTTCACTCACAATTTCACCAACACCAGTGAGATACAGTCCGTTCTCGTTCCAAACCTCACTCTCGCCCTTCCCCCCCGCCGCCTGCTCAACAAGCTGGGCAATTAGCTGCGCAATGTCCTCAACGTGCACATTTCCCCAGCGGCTCAGGCCCTTGCCAACCTGCACCCCGCGGCCGCGGTCCAGCGTGGCTTTCGCCAGCGATGGGATTTGTACGCTGCGCTGGTTGACGGGGCCGAGACCCCGGCCGTAGATGATAGGCGGGAACACCAGCGCCGTGTTGACTTTTGGCTCGTCGGCAGCGACCTTGAGGAGGTAATTATCGACGGCGCGGCTTGGGTACTTTTGGATGAAGGAGCGGAGGTCGACGATGCCAGTAAGGTCGTTAAAGACGAGGTCGCTTGCTGAGCCTGGGCTGTGAGACTTGTCGGCGAGTTCTGCTGCGGCGAGAGCGCTGGCGCCGGAGATTTGGATCCAGTGCGCTGCACCAGGATATTAGCACGCGTGACAACGCTGGAGGTGTGAAATACTTGGGGAAATTCTATATGGACTTACATGGGTTCTGCTCTGCCGATTTGGACGACAAGGCCTTGTGGATGGTCTCAACGCTCTTCAAATGGCCAGATGCGGCCAGATCTGGCGCGGGGTGTTAGTGATTTCGACAACTGATACCAATGTATGGGAGAAGTGCCGAAACGTACGGACAACGACATCGGCATTGGTAGCCTCCCGGGTGATGGTTTCGACATCATCCAGGTCGCCCAAGACGATCTCGACCTTGCTGAAGGCGCCAGTGATAATCTTGCCCTTTGCACTGTCGCGAACTAGCGCTCTCACAGCGTATTCGGGGTGCGACTTGGCCAACAGTGAGAGGACGCTGCCTCCAATGTAGCCCGTCGCTCCAGTCCTAGGGCGTTTCTGTGAGCACAGAGCACTTACACGGCGCCTGTCATCGCTGAGCTTCGGCTGACTTACAGGAAGATGCTGACCATTGTGTCAGAATGCTGCTATTATCTGTTCTGGATTCTTCCTGGTGGGGTTTGAAGGTGGACGAAGAAGATTTGGCACTGTCGATTGGGGCTTTGAGGATTTGAGGAGGTATCGACAGGTAGTTTATAAAGCGCATTCAACCAGCTCGCGCTGGCCTTCCAAACAGGGGTCGAAGCTTGGAACAGATTACCAATCTCTGCCCGTGGACGAGAGCTGTGAAGGTGCCAAGCTGCCCCACGAATTGCACAATGCGCTGCTCCATCGCGTCACTCCAGCTTTTTTCATCATCGACACCAATTGCCACTTGGCGAAGATATCTTGACTCCAGACGACCCACCGAAGGGCGTGCTTATATTTGATTCTATCTTCGAGAATGGTCTTTTGTATATTTTGCTTATAGATCAGTCGTTTTATCCTTGATCAAGGCATGTCCTTGACAATGCTTGAGCCTATGATAGCCGCCTGAATACCCCTTCCAATACTTCGAGGAAAATATCGGCTACAAATCGTCAGTTAGTCTCTATCCATACAAGGATTGTCGAATCTTTGGGTAAAAACTTACCATGATGCTTCTCAAACGCCAACATCGGCCGCAACCGGATAGCTGCATCACCGCTACCGCCCATATTCACTCCCTTTGACTTAGCCAGTGCTAAGACCTCGTCCCTCCGTGGACAATCCCACGCAATAAACGTCCCGCGATCCTTGCCACGAAGGTTCAACACATGTTGGGGGTACTTGCCCGCCAGCGCCTCCAGCTCCCCGTACAGGTACCCGCCGACCCGCGCCGTATGCTCAATCAACCCGTGCTTCTCAATCTCTCCGTAAATCGCCTTGAACAGCAGCGCACGTACGGGATCGCCCATCCAAGTATTGAACTGCCGGTAGGGCTTGTCGGGTCGTAGGCCGGCGTCGCCAAAATAGAAACCTGCTGCCTGTGCCTTCTTTGAGAAAGTGACCATGTCTGGCGGAGACGGGAGGTCCCAATGCTCGTGGGCCCAGAATTTGCCTGTGGCTCCAACACCTGTTTGGACTTCATCGACGATCATCAACACGCCTTTACGCTTGGTAAGCTGCCGAAGACCACGGAAGAAGGCGGGGGACGCGTGGTTGTCGCCGCCCTCGGCCTGGACAGGCTCGATCACCACCGCGGCAACGGTATCGTTGGCCTCGTCCAGTACACGCTCCGTTTCTTCAAGGCACCTCTTCTCCTCAGCAGCATTCTCGGAGGCGAATTGGTCGAGAGGGTATTTGAGTTGCGGAAACGGCGCCACAGGCCAGTCAAAAGCTGGCACATCGAGCTTATGAATCGGCTTGCTCCTAGTCGTAGACAGACTACCGAAAAGACGGCCGTGAAACCCCTTTGAAAACGACATTATCGAATATTTCTTCGCGCCTGGCGCCTGGTTGAGCATGACAGACTCCAGCTCAGCAGCACTGAAGTCTCTACCACCCCGGTCGCGGGTCCCCTTCCAGATACAGGCTGCTTTGTATGCCGTCTCGTTTGCGTCCGATCCGGTGGTTGCTGTGAAGACTTGGTTCAGACCTTTCGGGGCGGCTTTCAGGATGCCGGTCTTGAGGAGATCGGCGTAATCTGTTGAAGGGAAGCTCCCGAGAGCCGGCCGGCTGGCGATGGCGCGGACCATGGCTGGGCTCACAGAGGCGCGGTTGAGTTCTGGGTTGTTATACCCGAGAGGGATTGATGCGATTTGGGCAAATCTACCCATCGATTAGCCATGGTTAGCTCTGTGCTGGGCTGCGGATGTTGACAAAGATTGTAGCAACACTTACACGTCCAAAAATGTGTTCCCATCGGCATCAACGAGACTTTAGGAATTGCAATGTCAGCACCAACGAGTTCCTACAAGTAAGGCTCCTGGCAGGGTAGTGCGACTTACTAATTGCCGGTCGACTTTTCGTAGTCAACCAAAGTGTTTGCACTTCTCGTATCGAAGACTTCCTCCAACTCTGCAAGCCCATCCTTTACTCTGGGTCCTGGGAGTGAGGATGTCACAAGCTTTGGCCCGGAAGGCTCGCCCGAGAAGATGGCAGCTGCGCGATTGCATGATGCAACCGAGAACGTCCGCACGCCGACCACGTTTCGAGGAAATTGCCGGGCAGCGGTGACCAGGACGAGTGATCTTGAGTGTCTAAATGCCATCTTGACTATGTGTAGTGCAATTTACGTGTACTGTCAGGTTTTCAAGACGGAGGTTTGGTGATAAAATAGTCTCATTCTCTAATAAGGGACAGTAGGTCCAAACATCAACTTACACTCCAAGGTGCCACGGACCACCTTAGTTCTCGCGAAGGCATTCCCAATCACAATCTAGAGACAATACTACGCATCCGCTTACACGACAAAAACATCCCCAGCTTTTCTCCTCCGACCGTCATGTGTCTATGGATACTGTAAAGGCAAAGCCATGACTAAATGTCGAGGTTCTTGTTAGTGACCGATCCGGCATTATCCTAGGGGAAGAGACCGGCATCCCATCGGGGCCTGGAGTCTCCACCCCGTTAGCGCCGATACGTACCGCTTCACGTCGCGGAAACCTTCCCAGATGATTCTGGCAAGAACAAAGATTGACTACACTTGGCATCTACGGATAACGACGCCGAACTGTTCACGCATGATGAACAACACCCCTTTCTCCCAGCTGACCAAAGCTATCCTGCCGATATCGATGCATACGTAACGGCGAAGTTGTTTTGTGTCTCCTGTTGGCTTCCCTTTAAGTCACGCAAGAGCACGAGAGAATCGGCCCACCGGGAACACAAGCCTGATGTGTTCCTCATCCCCTACTGCAATCATCTCCTACGTGCCAAATCCTTCCAAACAGCTTTCTCGTCGCCCTTGCACTTAGATACCTTGCGTCATCCTCGAGAATGCCTGCCCGTCCGGTCACCAGAGGGTCCAGGTCCGGGGTAAAGCCGCCTCCCCCAAAAGGAAAGCCAACAGCGAAGACGAGGGCCACGACCAGCAGCGCCGCCCCAACGAAGAAGGTCCCTCGCTCGAGGACCTTTACAGGCTGCCGCACCTGCAGGAGTCGCCATCTCAAGTGCGACGAGACCCGTCCGGTATGCTCTTCCTGCCGCCGCCTCAATCTTGTCTGCGAAGGCTACGATGGCCAGCTTCTGTGGGTTCCAGACCCCCTGTGCTCCGCCGAGCAGAAGCACGCCCATCGCGGCACGTCCTACCGGTACCCGCTTTTCACCGAGGAGGAGAGGAAGATGATGAGCGTCGAGATTGTGACCAGCATGGGGCACCAGTCTGCCGGGGATATTGTTCTTGATCTCGATGAGAAGAGCGTCCACGCCGACGACGCGCATGTAACTGGCCCGTTTGGCGTGTTCAGAGCCTTTGATGGCTCTACAGATACTGGATCTTCGCCGTTGCAGCCTTCTGTCTCTGAGAGCTCACCTAATACCTCGCCCTCTGATGCCTTGCCAGAGATAATGGTTGGTGAGCTCGATGAAGACATCGAGGAGGTTGTAATTGAGCCTTGGTCTGTTGACGACAACTCGCTGGTCTTGGAGCCATACTTCTTGCCTGGGCCGTTTGACAATTTTAGTACCGATGGCATGCTCAACAACCTGAGCCAGCCATGGATGCACGGAGAAGGGACGGGGAGTTTGTCTCATATGATGGCAATGGACAACTCCGCTCTGGATCTTCTATTCTCTCCCTTATCGCCGCGTACGCCAGCAATGGCTCGTACCGAGCCTGGAATTGCTAATGACACAAATACCCGAGATTGGAACCATGATAGAGAACAAAACCATACACAGGAATCGACCAGTCCTCTGGCAGATGAGCAGGACCTGACGATCTCGCACAAAACTTCAAGCCCTTTCACTAACAATATGCCGGGTATCGAACCATGTTTGCCGTCACATGCCGCTTCCCTCTTACGATACTACAAAACCATGGAATCATCATCGTCAGTCAAGGGCATGAGGATATCACCATGGCAGCTCTGGCTTCTCCCTTGCGCCCTGGAAACATTTGCCGAACTGTCTCTTTGGAACACCACTTCGCATACCCGACACAGTATCTTGTGTACACTATTAGCAAAAAGTGCCTATCATATGCACCAATCGTCGAACAAAGAGAGCCAAAAGCCAACAACACAGTGGCTAGATATTGGACAGAACTATCAAAAGAGTGCCCAGTCACATCTTAAGATGGCTTTACAGGGCGAGTCTGATCAGGCAAGTCAGGCCAAGTACAACGAGATACTTATGGCCATTCTTGCTACAGCCATGGTATCGGTAAGTCGGCATTGATCTAGCGCTACTCTCTGAACTCTACTGACGTTCTTCAGGTCCTGTATAACGGATCTCGTGCAGTAAAGATCTTCCTCCTTGACGCCGAACGCCTCATCCGCCTCCGCGGCCTCGCGATGCCCAAATCCTTCAACGTCCGTGTCCTACATCACGTCTACACACACCTCCGCGTCATCGCAGAGAGCACAGACATTGCCATAGACTCTGCAAAATCCCAAGCGCAGGCAGCAACCGAGATGGCGGTGTCGCTACGTAAGTTCCGTATTGCAGAAGACTCTCTAGGCGCCGACCTCGACCTGTCGCGGGAGAAGCCCGCAGAGGTCGGCTATGCGGATATCCATCTTGATGTTTCTGGACACTGGCCCGTGACGATGTATCCAGAGATATATGGTGTACCAGAGTCGCTGATGACGCTGCTATCGCAAACCATTAGCTTCGCCAATGAAAAGACGAAGTTGGAGGCTATGGCCATGTACGATCACCGCATCTCCATGGCCTTGTCACGGCACATCAAACAGCTGGAGCAGAATATCTGGTCCTGGTCGCTCGGCTCATCAGACATGCAGAGCGGACCAAGCCGACCACGGGAACTCGTTACACAGGAAACGAAGCTCGTAGATCACCCCCTCATCAGATCCCTGACGCTCGCAATGCATCAAGCACTCATCATCTACTTCTATCGTCGCGTCTACAACATGAGCGCCATGGTAATCCAGGACTCCGTACGCAAGACCCTGGACTTTATTCAGCCGTGCCTCGAGGAAACAGCGGACGATCACGACTTTGCGACGAGCATCGGTTGGGCAGCGTTCATTGCCGCGTGCGAGGCTACGACGCCTGACTTACAAGAGAGGGGCCTCAAGGTGCTTCAAATGATCGATAATAGTGGCGTAATATTTGGCACCGATAAACCTAGTGTTTTGGCTCAGAGTGTGTGGGACAAGAGAACGGAGACAGGTGATTGGACGTTGAGCTGGCCGGATATGATGAAGACTATTCCGAGGTGAGGAGGTATATTAGTAGACTTTATGATGTAGATGATGAACGATGTACAACGACAGCGATTGAAGATCTTACATACTTGTAAATTTGAGCACCAAACTCTTCTCATAAGAGTCATACTACTTCGACCACCGACTATGAAATCCTACTCTCTGCGGAGTGATCCTGTGTTCCGAGAGGCTTAACCAGACTGCTGCACCGTGAAGGCGGGTCAATGTATTTTACCGGGAGATGATCTGTGCTGGAAACTTCGCGCGCCGATTTGTGTGACAACCATATCTGCACCATATCGAGGTCTGTCATGACATTAGGGAAGGGTCTTCAGCATGCAGTGTAGAGTACAGGTCAAATATTGACTTCAATCTATCTTCTAGTAAAGCACTCTACGCGACAACATCAACGCCCGCATCCTTCAATAACTGCGCAAGCTCCTTACGCCTCTCGCCCTCAAGCAGCTTAAACGGCTTGCGCATACCTCCCGTCTTCCACCCGCGCAACTCCATTCCCGTCTTCACAGCCGCGCCGTAGTTGTCGCCAGGTGCCTCGAGGAACTTGCAAATCGGGAAAATTCTGGCCCACAGTTCCCTGCCTTTAGTCAAGTCCTTCTTCTCCGCCAGCGCCTCCCACAGTTGGGAAGACAGCTCGGGGATTATGTTTGTCGCGCCCCACACGGAGCCCTTTGCACCTGCAGCGAGGCCGTAAAATGTGAGGGTATCCCAGCCGTTGAAGGCGGTGACCTTAGAGGAGGTGGCTTCGGTGAAGAGCATGTCCGTGAGAGCGGGCGCGTTGCCGGATGTATCCTTGAGATGCGTGACGCCAACTTCGGATAGCGAAGCAATCTCCTCGGGAGAAAGCGAAACACCGCTGGCGGACGGGATATTGTAGTACATGATCGGCAACTTTGACTCCTCGTGAATCTCCTTGAGCAGCTCCTTCAACTGCTCCAAGTTGGGCGCATCGTAAAACGGAGGAACAACCATCAGAGCGCTGGCGCCGACGGAGGCAGCGTAGATGGCGTGCTCGACGGCTTTTGCGGTGGACAGGTCGCCGATGCCAGCGACGACGGGGACGCGGCCCGCTGCAGAGTCGACGGACTGCTTGACGAGGATTTTGCGCTCTTCGGTGGTGAGGGCTGTGAATTCGCCGGTGCTGCCGCCGGGAACGAGGCCGTGGACGCCTGCGCCGATCATGCGCTGGATGTGTGCATCGAGGGCGGCTGTGTCGATTTCTTTTTGATCGGGGGTAAAGGGGGTGATTAGGGCGACGAGGACGCCTTTGAGGTCGCTGACTGCCATTTTGGAGGTTTCTTAATTGCAATATTTGGATTTGGAAGTATTCAGTATTGTTGTACAGTGAACTGCAAATTGAAATCTGCTAAAGAAAGACCAAGCAAGATGTTGGGTATAAGCAGCTTGGATGATATTATGATGGGAATATTCAGAGGACTTGAGCTTCTGATACCAACGTCATATACCTTACAGATTTCTCGAAGAAATCTCTCATGCAAACCTGTTAAATTGCGACTGTCATACGCCGGCTTCTCTTGCTTCATACAATGCAGGAAGCTACACGCGCAAACCTTCTAGTAACAACACGAAACGGCCGGAAGCCCTTCCGACACCTACATGTACGACCAATTCGAGCAGGCCTGCCTCTTCTGTCACTGTTGCCCCTCATGATAGCTCTGGAAAAGGGGTGTCAGGATGGCGGGGTAATTCGAATCGAGAGAAGAAGGACGGCACCGCGGGGTCAGCTCCGGTCCCGGGGACCCATAATGCCCCGCGGTGAAATTGTCCAAAATCGCTATCTTGGTTGAGATAGCGCGGGGTAGGTCCGGGCGGCAAAGTGGATCCCATCGCGGAGGCCTTCCTTTGAAAGGCCGGCTTGGCTTGCGTTGTATATGTTCTCCATACCATTGCCGGAAGGACTAAGCTACGGACGCCATGGGTAGTGCTTATTGGGATCCAAATCCTGGGCCAGCAACCAGTGGTTTGAGCGTACCCTTGCACCTCACGGAATAGGTAGCGGCCACTAAGTTTCCTGTTCAGGGTCTCGTGAGAATCAGGGTCTCCAAGTCGCCATGTATGGCACTTACAGACCCCTGGTCAGTATTCATTGAAAGCAAAAAAAAAAAAAAAGGTCTATTCCAGACAGAAGATATGCGTGGTAATCAGTTGGCTTTTGCACATGTCACCACGCTGTCCGTGACCAGTGGGACATATATCCAAGTTGAGAAATTCACTGCGTTGAGCAGCGGGCTAAATGTGTGATAGACGAATTAGAGCACGATGTCGCGTGATGACTCAAATGGGATACTTCTCAGCAGGCCAATATCCAAATACCCGACGTTGGGTGTTAAAACTGAAGCCGCAATTTGTGTGTTTTCGATGATCCCTTGGCGATTCTCAACATGGCTCGATTTGGAGATACCAAATACTTGTGCATATTTTACAACGAAGGATCAATCTTAGGAAATGCTAATTCGCTATGCAAATGCTACGAAAACAAACATATACCATCTAGAGCTTCGCCAACACCCCGCTACCGTTCAGATATGCTACATGACCCCTCGAGATTTCAGCAATGGTTCGAGTTCTGTTGGCGGTATGAGTTAGCTGTGATCAACGGTCTTCGGTCAGCGGCTAAAGACTTACCCTGCGAGAGCCATAGCAACCTTGAGCTCATACTGGAGGATTTTGAGCGCCAGCTCAACACCTTCTTGCCCGTTGTACTATCATACTTGTCAGCCACTACGTTACTTGACACTCGTGAGCAAGGATGTCCAAGCTTACGGCCAAACCCCAAATGGGGATTCTTCCGACAAAGCAATGTGACGCGCCGAGGGCAAGCGCCTTGAAGATGTCGGTGCCCCGACGAATACCACCATCGACCGCGATTGGAATCTTGCCAGCTGCCACCGGTGCGCAGATTCGCAGAGCATCAAGCGTAGCGGGTACACCATCCAACTGCCTGCCACCGTGGTTTGAGATGATGACACCGTCGAGACCGTGTCGGATTGCGAGAGCGACATCGTCGGGGGTGTAGACTATTAGAGAAATCCGTCAGTATGCTTGATTTCATCACAAGGTTCGAGCAGTATAGGCAACTTACCACCCTTGAGCCATAGTTGGAGTTTGGTGTGCTTCTTGAGCCAGGGAATCGCCGAGTCCCAGTCAAGCGAAGGGTCTGCAATAGTCTCTGTCAGTCATCTTTCGAAGAGAGTAAGCTTGCAAAATTATTTACCAAAGTCGTGTCGGTTTGCTGATTGGCCTTCCTTATCGTCACCGCTCAATTCGCTCTTTCCATCAGACAACAGGTTGGGCCATTCGATGCCTTCGGGTAGACAAAAATTGTTTCGGTATTCGTTCAATCGACGGCCTAGCAGCGGGGTATCGACAGAGAGGAAGATGGCTTTGTATCCAGATGCTGTTAAGATTGTTAGCACCTCGACTCCATGCTTGAAAGAGGCATGATCATGTGATGTGCCTACCTTCAGCGCGTTTCAGGATTTGCAGAGTGGTTTCTCGGTCTCTGAGCACACACAACTGCATCACGTATGGGTTTCCGGTGCCTTCGGCTGCCACATTCTCCATCGACTCGGTGGCGTAGGAAGAAAGTGCCATGCAGACGTTCATCTTTGCTGCCGCGCGCGACGTCCCAAGTTCGCCTTCTGGGTGTGCCATCTTGTGCATCGCAGCCGGACTGAAGCCCAGGGGAAACGATACCTATCAGAATAGCGTAAGCAGCATTCTCAGGTACCCGATCATGCGATCTACATACCCTGGCCCCAAAGATCGAGGTAGACATGTCGATATTGTCGACATTGACAAGAATACGCGGCATGATCTTGTATCGGTTGTATGCCTCTTCGTTATCTTTCAGTCTGTATGATGGTGAGAGTCAGCAATTTCCCAGGTACTCTCAAGTCGGCTTCGGGCGACTGACGTTACGAGGTCCATTGCGCCCTCATTGTAGTAGTCCCTGTACATCTTGGGGAGCTTCTTGCTTCCCAACTCCATCAGATCGCGGATGGTGTGGACATCGGGGTCCCATGTTGCGCCGCGGTTTGCCATTTTGGAAACTGGTGAGACTGAGATTATCTTGGTCGGGTGTGCTTTGAGGATCGATTGCACCGACTCGACATGGAATTGGTCCGGGAGATGATGAAGGGGAAAGCTCGATGTGAAGAAAGACTGCTACGAGTGAGAGCTCGTAAGCTTATGTGTACAAAACTCTCGGAATTGGTCCCGTCAGTGTCAACCTGGGTTGCTGACTTTCCTGCCTCGGCAAGTAGCTCCGCAGCCCGAAATCGGGGTCACAGCTAGCGAAGAGGAGACCAGACTTCAGCCCAACCTTCTGGGTCTCGCCATGGAACACGGCATCAAGAGCATTCGTATGTGAAGCTCCCGGTTTAGGTAGGAAGCTCAGGATCTCCGATCTGGAACATGCTTATCGTTGTGGTTGGGGGGAGTTTGGGGTAGCTCGGGGAAGGTTGCCATTTTGCTTCACACCAACACTTAGACCCAATCTAGCTTTCCAGATACGCACAGTGGTGCACCGATCAACCATTTGAGGTTTGATTCGTGTTGCCTCCAAGTTTACGTGTCTTGTCCACCGTGATGCGTCTGCAAATTTAGCTATCGAATCGGGGGTATGTCTCTGGCTGCAGGGATTAGTGTGCATAAGCTCTTGATACAGGCCAGGATGCCGAGATGATCGATCCACGATATGCACATTTAGCATCCATAGCTCTCCAGAACTTTGGCAGTCATCGCGAACAAGAATGCGGAGGCTACTTTCGGCGAGACTTTACGATCGACGTCACGGAAGCACATCCGATGGCAAGAGGAATTATTTTGAGCACGTTCAAATTGTGTAGGGATGATAACCCGCAAATCATGCGTGCAAAACAGCCCACTTGCCCTGTCCAACTTCTAGAACGTCTCTCTAATGAGCTGCTTGAGATTTATCTTGAAGTGGCTCTTCTTCTCTCCAAATCTCTTTGTATTCGTACGTTCAGAGACATTGACCTGTGCAATATTGTCACCAAGCTTCTCTTTCATCTCCCTAGGAAGAAATGCGTTGTATCAGGGCTTCATCGGCCGTCCGCGTGGCCTCCAAGCCAAGCAGCTTCATCTCACTATCTTCTCCAGTTGCTTCATCTCGTAGAGTTCTTTCTACAACATCATCCACACTTTTGTCCTGGCCTACCTCCCACACCAAAATCGCCAATCCTTCACCAACTCATAACTTCATCGATAACACCTTCAAATCGTCATCAGCCAGCAACTGGATCGACGTCCACGACCCAGCCACGAACAACGTCGTGACACGCGTACCAGAGAGCACGGATGAGGAACTTAAGGCCGCGGTCGAGAGTGCCCAGCGCGCGTTTCCAGATTGGAAGGCGACGAGCATTCTGAAACGCCAACAAATCATGTTCAACTTCGTAAACTTGATTCGAAGAGATTGGGATCGGCTTGCCGCTTCAATCACGCTTGAGCAAGGCAAAACTTTCGCTGATGCGCGAGGGGACGTTCTACGCGGCTTACAAGTCGCTGAGACGGCGTGTGGCATTACTACACAGATCACTGGCGATGTCCTTGAGGTAGCCAAGGATATGGAGACACGGAGTTATCGCGAGCCTCTTGGTGTTGTTGCTGCTATTTGCCCTTTCAGTAAGTCTATCTAAGCCCTATGTCTTGAGCTACATGTTTATGGAAGAGTCTAGTCTGTTGTTCAATTACTGACATATTCGTTTTTTGACAGACTTCCCTGCTATGATTCCTCTATGGTCGATTCCAATTGCTACGATTACTGGCAACACTCTGGTTCTCAAACCATCCGAAAGAGATCCCGGCGCTGCTATGATTCTCGCAGAACTAGCCAAGGAAGCTGGCTTCCCCGACGGTGTTATCAACATCATTCACGGCACGCACCGCGCAGTCAACTTTATCCTCGACGAGCCAGCAATCAAGGCTGTTAGCTTTGTCGGTGGCAACAAGGCTGGCAAATACATCTACACTCGTGGATCAGCCAACGGGAAGAGAGTGCAAGCTAATCTTGGCGCGAAAAACCATGCTGTTGTTCTTCCCGACAGCAACAAACAACGGACCATCGACGCGATTTCCGGCGCTGCATTTGGTGCAGCGGGTCAGCGGTGCATGGCACTCTCTGCCCTGGTTCTTACTGGTCGTGAGACACATTCCTGGGTTGATGACCTTGTTGAAAACGCAAAACAGCTCAAGGTTGATGGAGGTTTCGAAGACGGCGCTGACTTGGGCCCCGTAATTAGTCCTCAGAGTCTTGCCCGGATAGAAGCTCTTATCGAGAGTGCGGAACAAGAAGGCGCTAAGATTGTGCTGGATGGCCGCGGCTACCGCCCTAACAAGTATCCTAATGGCAATTTCTTGGGTCCTACAATCATTACTGGCGTCAAGCCTCACATGAGGTGCTACAGGGAGGAGATATTTGGGCCTGTGTTGGTGTGTCTCGAGGCCGAGACCTTGGCTGAAGCTACTCAACTTGTCAACGACAATCCTTACGGCAATGGTGTCGCTCTTTTCACCAACTCAGGAGCAGCTGCCTCTTGGTTCCAGAAGAACGTTGAGGCTGGACAGCTCGGCATAAATGTTCCGATCCCAGTGCCTCTGCCCATGTTTAGCTTCACAGGAAACAAGGCAAGCATCGCCGGCGGTGGTGTCAACACATTCTACGGCAAGGCTGGTCTGAACTTCTACTTGCAGACAAAAACAGTCACAAGCCTCTGGAAGCTAGAAGATGAGGAGGCTAGTAATGCAAGCGTGGTGATGCCAACCCAAAACTAGAAGTATGATAGACTCGCTAGATTTGAACATGCAAATTCAATAATCACACGCGTTCCTACATCCCAATCGAAGCCTCGTTATCTCAATGTCCGGGTACGTTTGCTCCGGGGAACATAATACGTAGCATCTACCTCGAACTCAGCGCCTGATACTTCAATATGGCATGAGTATCAACCGTCGCAGGCTTGCCAACCGGGTACAGCAGACTTATCAATGATCATACGTGGTTGAGTATTGTTGAGTGCGTTCCTAGTCTCTGAGGCAAGGCAAAACGTTGGTTACCCTCAGCTCCTGGATCAAATCGAACATGAGTCAGGCTAACTGCGTTGGACTCGATGAACTAATTACTTGAGGTCCAATCCACGTATGTACTGGTATCACTTTTACAAGTGGTTCTCTTGCTTGAAAATTAGAATGACATTCTTAAGGGTCTAGACCCCAGGTTGACATGAACGCCATCAAGGATAAGGCCTGCATTATTCAGCAATATGGTTCACGTGGTCTCAACGCCACGCGGGAATGCTTTCCACTTCACCTCCACTGCCTACCTATATGTCAATCTTCTGTGAGTTTTGTGTTTGCCACAGTCTTGGAAATTACGACCAGAGGCGGCAGCAAGTTTCGTATCGCACCTATCAACCGGATTCAGGGATATGTCCGGGGAAGCCGATAAATGCGCGGGGAAATTCACCTTGCCAGAGGCTTGGCTGATTAGGTAGCCTCGAAAGTTTAGGAAAGTAATAACGACAACGCCAACAATGAAACCCCTTAGCCTCCCTTATCAAGCTTAGTGCAAAATAACCCCAGCGTATCTTAAGTTATGCTACGATGAAGCTGATAGCATCCGGGAAACGTTCCTAACCAAAATTCAAACCCGCGCCCTTGGTACTGGGCTAAGTCGTAGTAGGATGCACAAGCCAATGACAGCTTCAATACTGCGTACCCCATGATGAACTCGTCGGCAGCGTTGCAAAAGTCTACACGACTCTTGAATCTCCTGTCATCCGTATCTCTCACTTCAGCCTGGCTGAAGTATTTAAATGGCAATCTCGTTGGCGTTGCTGATTTTATTTGATCAACTGGGTTCTAAATAAGACTTCACAACAATCACAACACAGAAACTGTATTACTGCAAACCAGTACCTACTTCATTCATCCAGGGAGGCTTTGCGTGGCTTCAGTCCTGTAACTTCATATCAATCACTTGAACGCTGTCGTAACTGACACCTGCAAGGCTACGATGTCTAATCTTCCGTCCTACGATACCGAAAAAATGAAGTCCCCAACCATCGCCAACACCGATATCGAGCTCCGTCCGATGGAGTCCGTACGTGGAGGCGTGCTGGGTCCCGAGGGGCGACAACAGGGCTCAACCCAACGCGGCCTCAAATCTCGACACGCACAAATGATCGCCTTGGGCGGGACAATTGGAACCGGCCTCTTTGTCGGTGTCGGCCAGGGTCTGAACATGGGCGGGCCCCTATTCCTCCTCATCTCCTACATCAGCATCACTCTTCTCCTCTACGGCGTGGCAACGGCCACCGGCGAAATGAGTGCTTACCTCCCGGTCCCCGGCTCTTCAGTCGCTTACTACGGTCAACGATTCTTTTCGCGTAGTCTTGGGTTTACACTGGGTTGGGTGTACTGGTACATCTTCTCCATCACGGTCCCGGCCGAAATCACTGCGACTTACATTGTCCTCAACTATTGGTCGCCACCTCTGCACATTGCCTTCTGGTTGACGCTCATCGGCGCAGTCATGATTGCTCTCAACTGCTTCCCAGTCAAAGTCTATGGCGAAGCCGAGTTCTGGTTTGCCAGCATGAAAGTCTTTGGTATTATTGGCCTACTCATCCTCTCAGTGGTACTCTTCTTCGGCGGCGGCCCCTCGCATCAGCCTCTTTGGTTTTCGAACTGGTCGAATCCAGGACCGGTAAAAGAATACATCGTGACGGGAGACTCTGGGCGTCTGGTTGCATTTGTCTCAACCATTACCTTCTCTGTCTTTGCCTTCGCCTTTGCGCCGGAACTACTTGTCGTCACCGGTGGTGAGATGGAGAGCCCTCGCCGGAATATTCCTACCGCAACGCGTCGATACTTCTATCGCCTCATCACCTTCTACATACTTGGTGCCCTGGCTGTGGGAATCATCGTCAGCAGCAACAACCCCAACCTTCTCAGTGGTGGTAAAGGCGCAGGCGCTTCCCCTTGGGCTATTGGCATCAGAGAGGCTGGCATCAAGGGTCTCGACAGTGTGGTTAACGTGGTTATCGTCCTGAGTGCTTGGTCTGCAGGCAATTCCTATCTGGTATGCTGTCCACACCCCTCACCACTTCCTCTTTTCTGAAACTTCTCTGATCCGCGTTATAGTACCTTGCTAGCCGCGCTTTGTATTCGATGGCCCTTGCTGGCAACGCACCGAAGATCTTCACCCGCTGTACAAAGTCGGGTGTCCCATACTACGCCACAGCAGCTAGTGCCTCTTTCTCATTGTTGGCGTACCTCAATGTTGCTTCGACTGGTGCAACCGTGTTCAATTGGTTCGCCAACTTGATCAACACGGGCGCTTATCAAAGTTGGATTTGCTGCTGTATTATCTACTTCAGGTACCGCAAGGCATCAGATGCGCAGGGCATCACAGACATCCCCTTCCGATCACGCTTTCAACCCTACTCAAGCATGTTCAGCTTGTTTGGCTTCAGTTTACTGCTCTTCATTAACGGATTCAAAGTGTTTCTGGTGGGACAATGGAACACCTCGTCCTTTTTTACGTCGTATATCGGCGTCGTAATTTTCTTGGTGCTTTACTTTGGACACAAGTTCACTGTGGGCCGACAGGATCCCTGGGTACTCAACCCTATGGATGTTGACTTAAAGTCTGGCTTGGACGAAATTTTCGCTGCAGACGAGCCTGCCCCATTAAGATCCAAATGGTACCAAAAGTGGAGGGTCTTATTTGAGTAAACGCACATGTATTCTACTTATTTTGCTGCCATCTCCTACTACCACATACCTTACGCATCATAGTCTTCAATTGAGAAACTGGGAATCGAAGTCTCTTCGTAAACTTTTCCCCTTTGTCCAAAGAAAACCTTTTGCCGGAGATGTCTCATGCATTACATGCATTCAAGTACGTGGTTCAACCGCCTAAAAAGAAGAGTGTTGTTGAAACCGAGCTTAGGATGCATCCTTCCACATCAGAAAAATAATGAATCAGTGTCATTCACATTATTCAGGCGCACAATTGTCCATTTTTGGAACATGAAACACCAGTCGTCGTGTAGGTCACGAACTTTCCATCCAGAGTGATCGGGTTGCCATGAACGCAAATCCACTGGCCGCCTCGGCATTTTCTCTGGGCGTTGGCGTTGCTGTACTTGCTACAGGCGCCTTTAACCTGAGACAAGAAGGCAGTCCAGACATTGAAATGGGTCGCATAAATTAGCGAGAGATATGATATCAGGTCGTGGATATTGTCACAAACATGTCCAGAGGCCCGTACGAGAGCTGCAGCTGGCTCAGCAATGGGGCTGGTCATCGTATTGGCAACAGGGGAGAGAAGAGAGACGACGTTGGTGATGATTTGCATCTGAAAGACTTGACTGTAAGATTTCATGGATCTTAAGCCAGTAGAGTGTATGATTGGTCTTGATGGAAGGGTTCCAACTTCGTAAGGCGCCCCATAGATGAGTCTTTCACCCGGAGCCTATCTGGGCCAGTTCTACCACACCCAATCACCCAGGGATGCTAGCATGCCCTCGCATTTCCTAGCTATCCTAGAATCGAGACTCGAATTTCGAGATGAGGTGGGTTCCGCAAGCCCCATCGCCGGTTTTCTAAACTTCTCCCATGATATAAAAAGCGGTGTTGTTCGGAATCCATGAACAAGCTAGTCGTAGAAGGTTTCTCTAGCATACAATATCCATTGAAAACTATCTTTCAGAACGAATCTGATTAGATCAGCTCCTCCCAAGAACAAACTACGGGCAGAAATGGGTATAAGTAGGTGACGGATGTACATAATCACTGTGGGTCATGGTCGTGAAGGGAAAGCCGATTGAGTACTATTATTGAATAAGGTATTTCAACTAGTCAGGTGTGCGTTTTTGCCGTTGCTATTCAGGCCTCTCCAGCCTCCAAAATCAGTCTGCAGACTTACTCACAATACATGGATCATTCAGCAAAAGGGTGCTGGAGGCTTCTTTTACGTGCATTCTAGATCCCACATCACTTTCAGGGATATCCAGCGTCTCCCTTCTTTCCGCTACCCTCCTTAAATTTCGTAGGCTTTGTGAACTTGACGACGTCATCAGCGACACTCGTCAAAGTATCAAAGACTTTCGCAAAGTCTTCAGGGACCATGTCATCGTCGCATGGGTTAAGCCAAGCCTTGAAGGCACCAATGCGATCCCCTGCCTTGTAGGTAAACTTGACCAGCTTTGCAACATAAATCAGGGTCTCTATAGTAGTGAAAGTCTGGTTAGCGTGCTGTTACTGTATCATTTATCGCCATTTGTGGACTTACTCATTCCTTTGGACATGAACTTGGCTTCCGGGATCATCTTGAGGCCCTCTTCAAAAACCAACTTCAATGAGTGCACATAGACATAACACGAAATCTGAATTAAGAGGCATTAGTAAGTTTCATCCAACTTGAAAGGAAAAGAGACATCAAGGATGTGCTAGACTTACCTCAGCCATAACGGGAAGCATCTTGACAAACGTCTCTCCGACGAGGTTGATGACGGGATTGTCGCAGGTGCACACTCCTGGGGCCACCTGAATTCCCGGTCCTTTTTTCTCCCAGGGAATCGTTTTGTTCAGAGGGTAGAAGCCAACGCAGGTGTATGAGGTGGTGAGTCCAGCAGCCGCATTAAGATCATTGGAGTCCTTGCACACCTCGCGGCAGTCGTTAGCCGTAGCCTCCCAGTTGGGCGGATTGTAGAAGATGCACTTCTGCGAGTTTGCAAAGTAGTCTTCCCAGCCGCCGTGGTTCAGCGCCGAAGGCAGGTCGCCATCCGGCTTTGACGGGTCCGTGGTGGTGGAACCTCCTCCGCTCTTGTCCTTGCAGCTGCCGCTCTGGCAACCCGTGCCGCAGTGTGCGTCGGTCGAGCCGCACCAGCCCTGGGGCGAGCAGCAGTCACCTTGAGGCCAAGAACCGCAGGTAGCGCCGTTGGCACCAACACCGCAGGTTCCGTCCGTCGTGACAGCGCCCTTGAGGCAATCGCCGCTCTGGCATCCAGAGCCGCAGTATGCGTCAGTGGACCCACAGTACCCAGAAGAAGAGCAGCAGTTTCCAAAGCCGCTCCCCTTGCAGATGGTACCTCCGTGGGCAGGACCGCATGACGCATCAGTCGAGACAGGCGCGGAGTCCGAGTCGCCGGTGCCGGAGTTGAAGTCGACACTCCAAGCCATGGTGCCGCCGAAGCAGTAGTTGTTGGCAAACTTCTTCTTCATGGCAACAGTCTCGTCGTCATCGTAGCCAATCCACTGGTCGTCGAACACGAGCTCCTTCATCATGGCGCCTTCAAGGAGGCGGGGCTTGAGGTTCTTCTCCTTGATAAGGCCCTGAATCTCGACAAGAGACATGACGCCGGCGTTGTTGGTGCATTTTCCTGGCTTGCTGGGCCCCTTGAAGCCACATCCAAGGGTGTTACAGCTGGCGTCTAATAGAATAGGGGTTAGTCAAGTTTGAAGTGACGTGCATGGCCTTCTCCCAATGCCCACAATACGACTTACCAGAAAGGGTGTAACCGCGGCCATACCAAGCCACGCCGAACACAATTTTGGAAAAGTCCATGTCATCGTAAGTAAGGGGAATTGTGTTGTTGTAGATCTCACGAACGTCGGCCTGGCCTCGAACGATGGAGCCAAGGGTCTTGGTGTCGGCGTCCCACGAGCCGTGAAGATCGTAGGTCATGAAACCAAAGTGATCGACATACGGCTCGAGGCCTTTGCCGTCGAACCAGCGCAGATACCAGTAGTCGGGAGCAAGCGTCAGACTGATGCCGTAGTTGGAGCCGTAGGCAGCACGCATCTCCTTGAGTAGCAGCACAAAGTTGGCAATATCGGCGCGCGAGCCGCCACGCTTAGGGTCACCGGGGTACTCCCAGTCAAGGTCCATACCCTGGAATCCGTACTAAGGCTCTCTGTCAGTGAGACTCTATTGCACTAAGTCATAGGAGACTGACCTTGTCCATGAAGCTTTTTCCAGATGCGATGAAGGCGGCACGGGCGGCAGGGCTGGCACAAATGTCGTGCCAGGTGGTGTGCGTTGTGCGGTTCACATCACTAAAGTCGTAACCACCAACGGCAATCCAAGTCTGCAGACCAGACTTCTTCAGAGCGGTAAACTCTCGCATGAGCGGCTCATCGGCGGCTTCAGCAGGTATGACGGCGTAGGTAGTAGGGTCGATGGAAGCGAAAGCGAAGTTGAGGTGCGTGTAACCCGTCGTCTTGATCTGGGACGGGGAAATGCGGTTGCAAACGCGATTGCGGACATTAGAAGCTTGGTAGTATCCGATGGTCCGCTTGGCAGACGTCCCCGAGTTTTCGCCACACGTCTTGGGACGGAGAGTCTCGCACTTTCCAAATCCCTGCTGGCAAAGCGAGAACTTGTTGGGGCCGACACAGTGGGTTTCCGAAGTGCCGCACCAGCCTCCTACGAACAGACAGCGATCAGTCCTTTACTCGTCCTAGAAAGAGTTGAATACAGGGTTGATAAAGATACGAACCGGAACTGCAGCAAAGGTTCATGCCGCACTTGATGGCACCGCCTTCGGACTGCGCGCCGCACATGGCAGTGGCATCACAGTTGCTCTTACAACCCGCACCACAAAGATCGCCATAACCACAGACGCCATTCTTACCGCAGCAGCTATTCGTCGAAAGATATGATCAGCTAGGTGGAACCTCATACGAAATACAGAAGTGACTTTTGTCCAGCTTACCTCCCGTCGGCACATTCGCCTGTCGGGCAAAGAAGGGCACCCGCACCAGGGGCCTCAGTCTGACGCCTGAAAATTGCAGCACGGATATCCCACTCTGAGACGGGAAGAGACGCCCGACGCCGCTCCGGCATGTACTCCGTGATGTTATCACGAAGATTCATGTACTCGGCTAGAGGGTCTCGGCCGACATCCGCGTCCGGGTTCTGGTGGGTGAGGGAGGGCGGTCTCTCGCAGCTACCGTCATGAACGAGAACCACAGCCGCTAAGACGGCTGTGAGCAAGCGAGTTCTTACCATGATCGAAGTTTGTTGTTAAAAAGAGTGAATGCGGTATTTGGAAGCAAAGAGTATGGGGAAAGAGAGTGACGAGGGCATAAAAGTGAATCGTCCAAGGACCGGGTGGTGGCCTTCACTTATACAAGGGGATACAACATGGCGATGCCTACATTTTCGATACAAAACGGCTCCTCCGATTTCCATTTGGTCTAGCCATACGATCTTACAGTCTCAACTTGCATCTCTAAGGCTCCAAAGCCACCTCAGGCGAGGGCTTTCCTGTTGTTGCTAGGGTGCCAAAAGTCTCCGCTCATCGCGATACGCATCAAATATCGCGGCGCGGATATGACAGTGGACCTCTCAAAAGATGAGCTAATGCTCATGCAACTTCGATACGAGATGCAGAAACTGCTCACAGAAATTTGATTCCATCTAGACTTGACGGTGGAGTTTGTCTCTACGCCCTTTATGGCTAGGTACTAGGGCTGATACCATCCACACCTCCGAGGGGCCCGCTAGAGCCGTCACCTTTTCTTCGGGCGGCCGGAGCGAGCCCCGTCTTCGACATGAGTTATTAGTACTGGTTGACCTGGCCCCCATCCTTGGGCTAGAGCTTTGTTGTGGATCGCGTTGAAAGTGCGCCGAGGCATGCCATACTTCTTCCATATCTCTTTGGTCGTCATTCGACCCGGTCCCATAGCGTCAGGACACCGACTCGAATACTATAACTCCACTCTTTGTCCTTTGTTGATGGCATCTTCAGAGCTAATCTTCTGCCGACGGTAGTTGGCGGTGGTAGATATCTGTACCCAAGCTAGGGTTGAGGGAGAGAGGAACTTGAAGTAGAAAATTGTATCAGAGCCCCTAATTGGCAAGTTCCATTGGCTGATGCACGGTCTTCGGGCAATGCAGCTCTCCGTTGCTAACAAGACAGGCACACGGTAGCAAGGGGCCCTGGAGAATGTGTGGATAGTTTAGGCCCCAGCCGAGCCCGGGCCCGCACGTTTGAAGCTGCTGCCTGCCTCAACCGGGTCCGAAGGCCAAGACGGATTCCGCGTAACAGGGCTGCAACCGTATTTGAAAGGTTCCTCCGGGGACTCAGGGATGGATAAAGTAAATCGGGTCACATAGCTCATGATGATCTGTCCGAGAGACCGAGGCATCAGCGATTCTCCATGAACACAGAGGGTCTAGTTATTCGACAGGTAGATCTGCCAGAATTTAGAGCTGCAAGGCCGGAATGCCAGTCCACATAATTTGGAGAATCACAGTAGTGAGGATGACTGTCGAGATTCTTGGCAACGTTCATACCTAAACAAATTTGGCATTTCGCAAGCCTACAGCCAATGACTGTGGGATGATTGCAAACTGGGATCGCCGGAGTCACCCGCTTAGCGAGCTCGTTGTCCACAGTGTCTTTTAGACTTATCTAATGTCGCCTCGTTCAGCTCCTCATGGGTCCCTTGGGCCGAGGTCTCGAGTGTAGATTAGGGCGAGGAGCCTTGTCGCTAAATCAAGCCTCTGTTCCTTCAAAGCCAAGGGATTTCGAGAAAGCTTAGCAGTGGATCCGCCGTCCGTGCTACGATCCTTGCTAGGAGACGGGAACGAAGACCAGTCTATTTCCACTTTGCCCCAGTTGCTCCTAGGGTTGTCTTTAGACTCAATCCTTAACCGACCTGACCAATGAGCAACTTCGGGTACCTTTGTTCTGCGGTGGATCGAGAAGGGTCGACCCGCGGTTCTTCGGCACTCCACAGGAGGCGTTTCTTGGCATCGAGAACCGAAGGGCCCGGGCTATTGGCTCGCGATGTTCTCAAAGCCGGTATTAGAGGTATAAGGTACCTCAGAATAGGTACCAAATGCAAATTTGCCCAACTAAGTCATCTATCGTTGATCATCTATGTCCCACCCTTTTCTGGGGTCGGGTTCGCCTTCAGATCAAATTATTCCGCAGTCTCTTTCGGAAGATGGTGACAGCCAGCCGAGCTGATGGCAACTTTCGCCTATGGCATATTTTCCTATGGACTCTTATCGATGTCAGTATTGTTTTACAAACCCAATTACTATTAGGAGAGTTGAAGACAGGGTTGAAATCAAGGGTTCGGATGCTCTCGAGATGGGGTCCTCTGTCCAAACCAGAGACAATGGCTGATGTTCTCTTTCCCCGATACGCAACGCGGAATGTGTTGCATCATGCAAATAATGCGGCCGACAATGTGTAGCAGGATTCATTCCTTGATCAATTTCCACTGAACGATTGGGTATCAACTACGAATGCCTCTGGGCAGGAAGATTTGCATCGCTACACTCCAGCATTCACATTGGCCTGCATATTTGCAGAACATAACCTTGTCGCACTCATCAAGTACATGTACGGCGTTTTCAAGAAGTCCATCAAAGAGGAGAGCGATTTGAATACCCATTCTTTGCTGCCTTAGCCAACGGACATTGGCTTGCAGCGAAGAGCCTTTTGGGACATGCTGCGCATAGCTATTCTGATGACGATCTTTCGGACATACAGCATTTTTCCATGTTTGTGGGCAAATTGAATCCAAGTCAAGTCCGGTTCAATGGGCCATAGAAAACCACTATCAGATCCTCACCAGCTTGTTGATCAAATCAGATGCTTTCGACTTAACGTTGCCAGATCGTGCAGGGCGTTCTGCATTCCATTCAGCTGCGACTGCTGGTAATGAGGTCGCCATGGTTAAAGTAATGGATAAGGTCGTTACCTCTGCTCGACTTTCTGAGGTAAAATTGGCGGTTGAAGACGCCAATTTTGACGATACGACGAGGCGCATGCTTGTGAGTGTGCAAGACGCGGAGGGAGCCTCGCCTTTACTGTTTGCCGTTAGAAGAGGGAGGGAAAATATGGTGCGGACATTTTCGAATTGGGAGTCAGATTTCGAAGACAACGACACAACCGGGAGGAGCCCTCTATCTTACGCTGTGAAGTTGGGGCACGAGGCTATGGCTAAGCTTCTTATTAACATGGGAGCGTCAATTGAAGCTATGAAAAGTTTGGGACAAACACCCCTTCATCGAGCAGCTATCAATGGCCGCAAGAAAGTAGCAGCGCTGCTACTCGAGAAGGGAGCATTTGCTAATTGCTTAGACAAGCTCGGAAAATCTCCCCTTCCTTATGCTGCTAAAAGTGGCCATGAGACAGTGGCAAGATAGCTTCTTGAGAAGGGGTCATCTATTGACAATACGGACAAGGATCGACAAACGCCCCTCTATCTAGCAGCTAATAATGGCCATACGCCAGTGATAAAGTTGCTGATTTCAAACGAAGCTTGTCTTGATATAAAGGACAAGCATGGGCAACTACCTACTCATCTAGCGGCCAACTACGGGAGTCGGTTTGATGTCGAAGTCTTGCTTCGAAATGGCGCCAGTTGATTTAGATGGCCGAACCCCATTTCTACTGGCGTCTCAGCATGGTTACCCGGATATAGCTTGTGCTCTAAGGAATAATGCTGTAGGGTCTCATTTCACTTGATCAAATAATTTGAAGGCCTGGGAGTGATCCAGCTAGTCTACGGGGTAGTCCGAACTCATCGACATTTACGTCTGACTGTAGATCTTGATTGGGTTTAGACACAAGATACCTAAAAGCAAACGTGCGCGAAACTCAGGCAATAGATTTGATGCAAATCAATCTATAATGTATGTCCTTTGCTCCCGCGCTCATGCTCGCGCATGACCCAATGTCCTGTCTCGAGCATCTGTAGCCGATTGGTTTTCCATCATGGATGTCCCTTCTCATTGCGACAAAAAGAAGAATTCTATGCTCTAAAGTGATTATAGAACAAGAAGTCTGTGATTCCCAGAGGCATTATTGGACGACGTTCTCGTATGCGTAAGCGACTATGGGCAGTTGCATAGGGAGTGGATGATGATGGGAAAAATAGGCCTACTGGGTATGGTTTGATAGGATATAGAGGTTTGAGTACATTGAATACACTTCCAGGTACTAGAACGGCCCATTTTACCATAAGATAAAGAAGTCAATAAATTATAAAACTCAAGGCCTCAATATTACTAATCTATGTCCGCGCTTGTAGTCGTGCACGAATACGTAGGGAATGAGCAATGGCTTTCAGAAGCAATGCAAGACCATAAAATGTATGCTTTGGACAAGCTTAACCAGCTGTCTAAGTAAACCCCTTGTCCCTAGTAATAAGGGGCTGTGTGATTGTCGTCACCTGGCAGACCGTAATTTCATGGCAGTATGCGTCCTTCTACCATCATTCAGAGAAACCGAAGATCACGTACTCTGAAAACTACTTTAATATTGCGCTTTAGTTCCACATTTAGGTTTTATTTTACAATTTCGATCACAACTATGGATCCTCAGCAACAACAGACATTCCGGACGTTAGGCTTTATCAGGACACGATGACTGCAACTTCCCTCTCGCCTAATTTTTCTTGGCATCTGCTGTTAGTGAATGAGTGAGCCTACCACCAAATTACTAACAGCCGAAAACTCTTCACCTCCCCTTGCCGGAGCCCGCATCCGCGATGGCCTCACAGCCGCCGTCGGGCACCGGACTGATGTCGGCCGACCAAGCCGACCCCGAATCAGGCTCCGGGACACCTCCGGAGCCGAACCCCACCTCAAGAGCTAAGCGACGCCGCGACGCCGAGGCACAGCCGACCCGGCCCAGCCTAACGGGAAGCCAGCTTGATGCCACCACCGACGCCCCTACCTCGGCCGAGGGGCCCGCAGCCTCTACCGCATCTGCTCCGAGCGGATCTGCCACAGGGTCCGTCTTGACAGCCCTTGCAGAAGAAGCTAGACAGTACGAGGCACGGAAAGACGTCTTTCTGACCATTGCACGGTCCGTCGACAGCGTTGTCGCCAGCTTTGACGGTTCTAGAAAGCAGATCGCGAAAGAAGCCACTGCCTATGTCATTCAAACCCTCAAGAGACTGATCAATCACGAGACAAGCCCAATAGCGGCCCGGAGTTGGGCGGCTGTCGTCGCACCGATGGCGGGCAACACCACTGCGGCGACCCGGAGCGGCCAGAGCTGCCAGAGCTCTGCCCGCCCGAAGGCCACACTCCCCGCCGAGGATCAGCCGCAGGCGCAGCCGAAGGAGGACCTCCGCATCTTTGCCCGCGTCCCGGAAGAAAGCTTAGCGGCCGCTCGGAAGATCGCACCGTTCGCCGTACGACAGATCGTCTGTAAGGCCGTTGGCCTGGGGCTAGCGGACCTTCCCCACGTCTACCATATCAGCACAGGTTACTCTCTGAAGCCGCGAAACAAGCAAATACAGGAAAGACTACTTGCAAGTAAGGCAAAGCTGGCGGAATGCCTCGGCGCCCACCAGGTCGAGACGCCTATCAAGTGGTACACTTACGTTGTGCCGCGATGCCCAACAAAACTACACAGCATTGGCGGGGACGTCCTGGACCCAGCCACACTCGTTGAAGATGAGGTCTTCGCACAGACAGGACAGAAGCCTGTCCTTGCTCGACCGTCCCGCCTTGGGCCCAACCCAGTCACGAACGAAATATCTTGGCTCATATCATTCACATCAGAGGTCACGCCCTTCAGGCTCTTCAACCAAAGCGGCAGATCTCTGCCCGTCAAGAAACGAAGGACGCTCATCCGACACGACCCCGGCTGCCAGGGCTACCACTCCAACCGGTTCTGCGGACGACGACCGATCTGCAGCAACTGCGGAAGACCTTCCGATTCACACGAAACGGGACCCTGCATGGCCAGGCCCCAATGTGCCAACTGCTGCGGCCCCTTCCAAGCCAGCCACACAGACTGCCCAGCGAGGCCCTCGGCCGTAAACGGCGTCGTCTCCCTTCCCGGTCGAAAGGAGCGGGCTCGGATCCGGAAGGCCGGCCAGAAAGCATCGGACACTCTGTACAAGGCTACTCGATCCGACAGTAGCCAGGAGGCGGCAGGCGTCCCTACCTCCACCAGCCAGAACCAGCAACCCGGCGCCAAGCGCGCGCGCATGAGAACGCCCTCCGCAAGCTCGATCGTTTGCCTCGGTGACGGAAGCACTGACAGCAGCAGCATGGATGAAGACGAGGCGGACGAAGGCGAGGCGAAGACTCCCCCGACAACACCTCCATCGACCGTCCCATGCTACCCATGCCAAGCAGGAGCCAACGGGCAGCACAGAAGCCAAACTACAACGTCGCGAATGCCTACACCCACCTCGAACTCGACTCGGAGACGTAAGCCGAGAGCGGCGACCCCACGGATGCTACGCGTTGCGCAGGGCAACGTCGGAAAGATCTCCCCGGCGCACACGGCTTTCCTGCAGCTCTGCTGGGAGGCTCAGATAGATGTGGTCCTCGTCCAGGAACCCTGGACGGGCTGGAAGGACGGAAACGTGCAACTGAACACGCACCCGGGTTTCGACTCTTTCGTCCCGGTCGACTTCTGGGACAGCGAAGGAACCAGACCAAGAGTATTGACCTACACACGCAAAGGGATAGGGATGACGGTGGAGCAGCAGAGGCCTGTCCACACGAGAGACGTACTGTGGCTGGTGGTCGACAAAACGACGACTATCGTCAACGTGTACAGACAACCCCGCGACCCCCACAGCCGCACAACAGGGATACTGCTAGAACTCAAACCCCCGGAGCGAGCTTTGATCGCGGGTGACTTCAACGCGCATCACTACTCTTGGGAGCCCGGGACGAGGAACGGGAACCGGGGAGATGACATCGCAGGCTGGGCAGACGGCCACAATCTCTCTCTTATCAGCGAAGTTGGGGTGGCAACCCAGGATTGCGGACATGTCCTGGACCTGGCTTTCTCTAATATCCCTTTTGCGCACGCGCAGGTCAGCCCACAGTTACACCCGGGAGCTGACCACGAGGCCATCGTGGCCGTCATACCACTATTCAAACGCCCAGTGTCACAGGGAGAGGGCCACCCGCAGCCACGGCCACTGTCAGTGCCCGACTCGGCGCTGCCTCGGCTGAGAGACCTGATCGAAGGGGGGCTAGCTGCGATGCCCAATCTGGGGGATCAACCTACTCCGGCAGACCTGGACGGGCAGGCAAGTCACATCGTCGAGCTCTTCTCCCGAGCCATTGAGGCGGTCGGCAAGAAGAGAGGAAAACAGGGAAAAGGCGCGGCTTGGTGGACGGAGGAATGCGCAGAGGCCCACAGAACGTACCGTGCTGCCCGCAACCCACAAGCCTGGGAGACGGAGCAGAACGCAAATCCTTCTCCAATGGAAGAGCGGAAGGCATTCCTGAGCATTGTGAGGAAGGCTAAGCGAGCATACTGGGCCGGAAAGATCGATGGAGTCGCTTCAGACCGGGACCTCTATCAGGTCATGGGTTGGCGGAAGGCGAGCCCACTGACCAGAGCACCCCCATTGATTGTGGACAACCAGACGATCGAGGATACTAACGAAAAGGCCCAAGCGCTCCGGAAAGCCCTTCTCGACAGGTTTAGTGCGGAAGATGACGCACCGGGTGACCCGTTTGACGTACCCGTCGTCCCAAGGCGAGCGATTACTTGGCAGGACAATGTTAGCGGAGAAGAAGTGAAGACGGCCACCTTAACAAAGACAACGACCCCTGGTGTGGACGGGATCACCACGCGCCTCCTCCAGGCCTGCTGGGGCGTCATCTCGGAGCCGGTCAGGCAGCTATTCCAGTCCTGTATGCGGGCCGGCCACTTTCCTCTGCCTTTCCGCAGAGCTGAGGTGGTCATGATCCAGAAGGCCGGCAGGGATGCCTCCAAGCCCGGGTCCTGGCGTCCGATCGCGCTCCTCTCGTGCCTGGGCAAGGGACTCGAGAGACTGATAGCCAGAAGGATGGCGTCCCTGGCGATTGTCGAGCGCATCGTCAGTCCGCAACAGATCGGAGCCCTACAGGGCAGGTCAGCCGTCGATCTGACGACCTGCCTCGCCCACGATATCGAAACGGCCCTCCTAAAAGGGCTCACGGCGACACTTCTGACTATGGACGTAAAAGGGGCGTTCGACTCCGTCCTTCGGAACCGGCTCGTCATTAGACTGCGTCAGCAGGGATGGCCACACGGCTTGGTTAGACTCATCTTCAGCTTCTGCTGCATCCGCATCGCCAGAGTCCGACTGGAAGAAAGCACAACGGAATACTTTCCTCTGTCATGCGGGCTGCCGCAGGGGTCGCCTCTGTCTCCCATCGTCTTTCTGCTCTACATCGCGGAAATACTTGAAGACGACCCGGACGCGCGATTCGGGTACGCGGACGACATCGCCACTCTGGCCATAAGCCCCTCCCTGGAGAGCAACGTCGCAATACTCAACCGAAGCGCAGCCGGCATTCTCAGATGGGGTTCGGAGAACAAGGTCTCCTTTGACCCGAGCAAGTGCGAGGTCATCCACTTTACTAGGAAGCACGGCCAGCCAGCGGAGCTG